TTTGCTTGGAAATCCCTGGTAGCCCACAGATCATGTAAAGTGTTGCTGTTTGGAGTCATACATTTACTTATCCGGGACCCTACTTGGCCTTGAACTTTGGGGAACAAGGCCCAGGCAGATGCCTGTCACTGAGAGGTAAAAGTGACCAGGTGGCTGTGGGGATAAACCTCCTGTTTCTGATTCCAAGCCCAGGGCTCACTTCTGCCATGAAGCTGGATACTTGTGGGTTTAAAGCATAATTTTACAGAGAGCCAAAATAACCTTTTATCTTACAGAACTAAAATTTTCTATGGAGTTTAAAATCTTTACTGATTAACTCATATTTTCCTTCTGGTTTTATCTTGACCTTTTCTGTTTTGTTAGCGTGGAGTCGCATGCTTCTGAGTTGCACAGAACAGTAGTAAAAACATTTTAGCACATTGAGATACTTGGTGCAGTTTGAGAAGTGTCTTTTTTCCTGCTTGTATAAGACGTTTTCTAAGCTACCTTTATTGAGCATGTTCATATTACTGTATTTTTGACCCCTTTCTTTTAAGGTAAAATTATCCTTTAAAAGAAACTTAGGAAATAAAAATGAACTTCTGGCAGTCCTGTAGATACTCATTGCTATAAAATTCTTTATATTGAGATTTTTTTTTTTTTGAGTCAAACTCTGATCTCACACTTGCCAGGCAGGCACTATGCTAATGAGCTATATCCCGAGCTCTAAAGTTTTTATAAAGCCAAAAAGCATGATACCATGTATCATTCTTGGGATTTTTAGAAAGTACTTATATGATTGCTCCTGCTATTTGAATTTAGGATTACATTTATCTTCTAAACAGAAAGCATTATGCTCTAAATTGCAATGGAAAATTTCTGATTGTAAATACATAGTTTGGTTCTCACAAATGTAATTTCTTTTTGTGTATGATAAAAGAAAGTTTAAAACAATAGCAAGGTAATTGTCTGTTCTTTTAAAAATTTCGTAACATGACTTCTGTTACCTTCTACCCTTGGATATGGATAGAATCTGTCCATGTGATGAGGGTCCCCCTTGGGTGGATTATGCCACATAGCAAATAGGAGATTCTGTCCTGGAATATGGTAAGATTGGGTAAGAGTCCATCATAGCCAACTGGAGAGAGACTGGAAGTCACGGAGACTCATTCCTCGTGGCTGCAAGAAAACAAAATCATGCTGTAAACTGCCTGTGAACTAAGAACTACAGTTTCTTCTAGGAGCTGAGAACAGTGTTCAGCCATAGTTGGCACAAGCCATGGTCCTCAGCCCTACAACTGCAAGAGATTGATTTTTGTCAGCAGCATCAAAGAACGCGGCAGACCTTGAGCCTCAGATGAGAGTGCACCCGGCCCGCACCTTAATCACAGCCTGAGAAACAGCATTTAGCTCAGCTCTAACTTCTGATTCATGGAAATGATGAGATAATTGTTTTGGCTTTAGTTACTAAATTTTTAAAAATTTGTTATGCAACATACAAACTAAAACAATAATCTTAAGGAGATTATTGGGCTAGGTTTTTTTTTTTTTTCATTTGTAAAATAGGAATTGGAGTTCTTTATAGAAAAATTATGTAACTAAATGAAATGTTGATGTAACGTACCTGGAAATCAGCAGGCAGGTTTGTTGGTGTGCTGGCTTGGGCAGGCGTTGCACTGGGGAAGGTCAGCAAGAGAGGCAGTTTTTGCAGTGCAGAACAGGTCTTTTGCTACCCACCTGTAGGCTATGCATTTGCTTTATAGACCTCACGTCAGGTCAACGCAACTCAGGACACAGTGATAAAAATCACAAACAGCTGAATTTTAATTTGTGTTTTATTCATCAAATACTGTTATCTGCTTAAGGTTGTTAGAATTTTGAGTGTAGCCCCAAAATGAAAGCATGTCTTTTGAAGAATGTTCTTTAAAATTGTGTAAGACCTGGACATGATTGTACATGTTTGTGACCCTAGCATTTGAGAGACTGAGGCAGGAGGATTGCTGTGAGTTCAGAGCCAGCCTGGGCTACATAGTGAGTTCAGAGCTGGAGAGACCCTGTCTCAAAAAACAAAAAACAAAAAGACAAAAAACACCCAAATTTTAAAAAATCTGGTGAGTTGGAAAAAGGGAAGTCAATTTCAAAACTTAGAACAGTAACAGTTGAAGTATAGATAAATTTCAGCTGATTTGTATTTGATTATTTACTTGTATTATGTGAATAAGCAGCTATATTGTTTAGAAAGTCAGTGGTAAGACTTATTTTTAATGCATCTCAAACTTAAAATATGCGTTTGCAATAATATTACAAACCTTTTTTTTCTGTGATCATCCAAGAAAGAGTTGCCACATTATACTCTTATCCTCATATATTGTATGTGTTTTCTGTACAGCCACAGTATAACTGTCCGAATTGGGAAATTAATATCGATCCATTGCGGGCATCCTGGGCTGCCTTCCAGTTTCGCCAGTTTCCCCACCGGTGCCCTCATAGCACAGCATTCAGTTCAGGACCAGACTTTGCGTTTGGTGATGTCTTTAGTCCCTGTGCAGAATTGCTCCTCAGTCATTCCTAAATTGTCGTGATCGGTATGCTTTTGAAGATTTGAGATATTTTGCAGAATGTTCTTTGCTCTTGGTTTGTCTGATGTTTCCTCATCAGTAGATTCGACTTACACATTATTGGCAGGCATGTCACAGAACTGTGGTCTTCTCTTTAGCTCTGTTCATGTGATGCATGCTTTTAATTTGTCCTAGATGCTGCTTTTATCTTAAAAGTACTTTTTTCCTGGTTAGTAATTAAAGAATATTTTTGTTGGGAAATCCTTTTGAGACTATGTAAATATCTTATTCCTCATTATACCTGCAGTAAATTATCTTGTTATCAGTATGACTTATGGCTTGCTATTTTCTGCAAAGGGTTGCTGTGTTTTGTGTCATTTGTTGGATGTCTACGCGGTATCAGCAGGAGATGGATAGTGGAGGCCATCTGGCTCTATTTTTGACATGTTCCTGTTATTGGGTACTTTTTTGACTTCCTGCAGAAGATGTTTCAGACTTATCTTGTACATTTCCTGTCTCAGTCCTGGAATGAGCTATTTCTCCTTGGAGACTTCTTAGTGGAGAATGGTGTTTATAAACCAAAATCTGAGTGATAGTTTTCTCGTTGCTCTTGCAATGGTCCTCTCAAGGGTTATAGTTATGGAATAACTTTATTCGTGTATACATATACATATTTACATAGACACACATACATATATGCTTCAGTGTTTCCATGTCTATGTTTTACAAAGCAATATTATGGATTTTAATTCAATGCCAAAAACTTCTTTTCTGGTTTTTTCTTTCCCATATTTATATCTCATTTCTGTAATATTTGAGGAACCTGGATCCTATTATTTTTACCTCTGTGTGACAAAATGTTTTCTGTGGCTGTCACCACCCCTCCTTCAGGTGGACACACTCTTCCACCCACTGAGGATGCAACACCCAGCAGTGGGGCCACCCCTCCTAGGAGACTTCTGCACAATGCTCAGGGTCAACACCCAGCTCACCTTACTCATAGGAGCAGTACTAACAACAGCGACAAACACTTCTTTTTTGTAAATATGAAATATGCTCATTATGCAACATTCAGATTATGTAAGAAATTATAATCCAGGAGACAGTAAAGTCATCCCAAATTCCATCATGCAGAAATAATCGTTGATGTAAGCGATAGCCTTCCAATTCTCATACATATGGGAGCTGATATACTTTAATGAGATAAAATGTGTCAGTGCATACTTGTAATCCTAGCTGCTCAGGATGCTGAGGCAGAAGGATCACAAGTTCAAGGTCAGCCTGAGCAATTTAGCAAGATCCTATCTCAAAATTAAAAAAAAGATTGAGAGTGTAGTTCAGCCCTCCACACATTCAGTTAAAACATAAAATATGGAAAAGAAATTTAATGAAAAGAAAAGATCAAAATACTTAAGTGAAAATGAGGGCATATTAGAAATGTTTTCTTATTTTGGGAACAGGTCTTGCCTGTGTAGTTCAGGTTGGCTTTGAACTCACTATGTAGTTCAGGTTAGCCTCAAACTTGGGACAGTCCTCCTGCTTCACCTCCCAAGTGCTGGGTTTACAGGCAGGCACTATCATCCCCAGCCCTAGAGAGATTATATATAAATGAAAGAAATGAGCTGTACTTTAACAAAAGAAAAGGAGCCTAAGAGAAGATCGGAAAGCATCACTATATTTCTTGTCCATTTTCTTTGCTAACTGACAGATCCATGTAAATCTAAAGGTTACCACGGCTGGTACAAAGTTGGAGTTAGTTTTATGCCTTCACATTCTCCTTGGATCAGCAGCTGACTCGTAGGAGTTCCACAGGCCAAGCCAACCGTTAGTATTGTCCGTCTGTTAACATACCATTGGCATAAAAAGTCTCATGGCCAAGGCCGGCATCACATAGTGGGAAATACACTCTCCCCACTCATATACTGTGCAGTAGGCTGAGCAAGGGGTGAAGGGGTGAGAACTTCACGACAGTTGTCAAGCAGCAGTAGTTTCTGTTCTATATAGATTGCTAATTTTTATCCCTCCCAGCTTGCTAATTTTAAGATTATTTAATTCTCTTATTTGACTATCAATTCTCACATCACATTAAATTCCAAAGAGGAAAATCTATAAAAAATATATAAGGAGTTGAATTTGATAACTTGATATGCAACTGATTTCTGTGATTCAGAGTAAAGTATTTCATGTAACTGTTTCTATATCCAAAGGAGAGTATTTCTAAATGTAGAAGTTTGGGAGCTCTACAAGCGTGAAGGAAATAACCTGTTAGCAAAAAATAGGATGTCGAGTTATTCCTCAGTCCCCTTTATTCATTATCAATGTGACAATATGGTTAATTTTGGCATTTGTTACCTGTATCTCTCGACTAGGTACTATTATCAGTGTTGTTGACCTGGAAGATATTTAACCAAAATATTCTAACTATAGCGTCCCCTTTTTTGTTTTTGTTTTGCTCCGTTGTAGGACATAATGATTATATTTGTCCTGCTACGAATCAGTGTACCATAGATAAGAACCGGCGGAAAAGCTGCCAGGCCTGCCGACTTCGAAAGTGCTATGAAGTAGGAATGGTGAAGTGTGGTGAGTGTCCCCTTTCCTTTACCGTGCGGGCCACGCTGAAGGTCGCGCTGCCCGAGGAGCTGGGACCGTGTAACGGGTGAGAGCAGGTTTAGGTGTGGTCATCCTCTTCCGGTGTTTGTGCACTGTCAACACTGCATTGATGTACTCCGCGGGCAAGAGTTTCTTACAGTTCAAGTTGTCTTGCAGCAGATTAGGGGCCACTCATCTGTCTGGGATCTAGAAAGTTCCCATCCAAGGACGAAATCCTGTTCCATAGTGCAAATGTCCACAGTTAAAGCTTGTGCCTAGAAAATAGAATAGCGTGTGGGTTCTTGGGTGGCTGTGGGTAAACCTGATGCCTGTGTCTCTACTACCTTTCTATAAATGGAAAGAAAATCAGTCAGAGATATGATAGAACTATAAAAAGTACATGCAGCATAGATTTTGCTCTATGCAGAAATGTGTGTGTCATATCCATGTGTATGTGACATAAGATACACATACCCATATATTTCGCATATACATATACAAGATAAGAGGAAAACACAGACACTTTAGAATAAAAATTAACAAAGGTGCCACATCCTGCTCTTCCCACTCGGCTCTTTTGGTTCATTTGTGAGTTACACACTTGTTTGTTTTATAGTCACCTCAGCTTTGCCCTGCTTTTTTTTCTGCTAGGCAATATTTTGTAACTTGTTTCTTTGTGACTCTCTGAAAACTTCCAAACTTCTTTTGCTCCCTTATCACCTCTTAGTAGCTCTGCTTTGTAAACATCTTCTGGTCCTTTTTCTAGTGTGGGTGATAGAGTAGAACTTTCTCCTAACTCAGGAGTCTAGTTGCAGTTCTCTTAATTTGGCCGTCTCCTGGCTTTGCTAGAGTCACTGCCATTCTCCTCTTCTCTGGGACATGCAAAGGTCGGGGGGTAAAGGCTGTTCCTGGGGTGGTGCTGTTGGGGTGGCGGAGATTCAGGATGTGGGGCTGAGGGGTGGTCTTGAAGTCATTGTGGGTGCGCCTTTGGAGAGAACCTTGTTTCCTTCTCTCTCTCTCTCTCTCTCTCTCTCTCTCTCTCTCTCTCTCTCTCTCTCTCTCTCTCTCTCTTCCTGGCATGAAGTGAGCAGTTTTGCCCCCTGCCCCCTGCCCATGTGCTCCCTAACATAGATCCTTGCACAGAAGCCCAAAAGGAATGGGTCTCCCAGGTTTTGGACTGCAACCTCTAAAACTCTGAGCCCATAAACTTTTTTTTTGTTTCTGAGATAACTGTCTCAGGTGTTTGTTACAGCAACAGAAGGCTGACCAATATTCTGCGGATGCCCATGACCTTCCAGTGTGCACTGGTTACTCTCCAAAACACTTGAATATTTCTGACCCCACCACTTCAGTTAAATCCTTCATAGAATCCAGTGGGGTTTTCTCCAAGCCTTTCTGTAATTATCAAAATTGTTACATTATGTAATTTAATTTGAATTTCTGTAGATGCATGGAATATAAGTGAGTACAGCTGTTTGCACAAAAGGTTAGTTGAAAGTTATGAATAAAACTGTAGAGGACTGAGAGCTGTTGAGTTAGGTATAGGTGAGACTGAGGGGAAATCCTAAAGATGAATGCATATATGGCTTTGAAAAATGATTCCCAGTGTTGCGTGCGGGTAAGGATGCACATGTTTATACTCGGATCTCTATACTTACTGCTCATGGTAGCTAGGTCCTGGAACTTGGATTCTTTAGATGAGTCTTGTCTTTGGTTCTTCTCTTTTTGCTAAATATGACTGTGCTCAAACTACTTAAGCCCCCTGGCTCTTGGTTTTCTTATATCCGAAACAGGTATCTGCTCCAGCGGGTTTCATGGGGTTTTAAGCATGAAGACATATTGACAACCAGGGATAGGGTCCCTTTCTCCATCTTAGTTTTCTTAAAAGTGGGATAAAGAGTCCTTAAGGGAAAAGGAACTACAGAGAAGGGCTGACTTTCGCTAAAGTCACTGAGTAGGGTCTCTCAGGAAAAAGAGTATGTTCTCCTTGGAGATTACGGAGGATATGATACCAGTAGATTTACACAGTTGAATACTTGGTCCTTCGCTGACCACAGGGAGAGACCATTAGATTGTAACTGCGTGTCTCCCTCCCTGGCAGCCTTCCTGTCTACCCTTCCCTAAAACCTTCTGTCTACCTTCTTCCTTCTGTTTGATTTGGGAGTGTTAAGTATTTTGTCTATAGTCTGGATACTCCCAGGCCATCTGCATCCCTCTCTATTCACAAATCATGTCTATTCTGTTACTGTGTCTTCTGTTTTTCCGATCTTCTGTTTTCTGCTGAAGTACTGATGTGGTTGTTTAAATGGCGGGAGGACCCTGCAATGTGCATAGCCAGGAAGACAGCTGGACTCGCTCCAAGGTTGGTCTGTGTCCCTGTGTTGGGATGGTAGCTCAGCATCTTTAGGCCCCATTTCCTTATTTACTTGCTCTGTATAATTCCAGGAAAAAGATTTGCTCGGTGGTGTAAAATAATGGTTAAAAATATGAGCTCTGGATTTAGCGTCCTCTTTGGGCTTAGATCCTGTCTCTATTTGCTAGCTTCCCACCTTGGACAGTGTCTCTGAGCTGTCTTGTGTCAGTTCCTCCTCTGTGCATTGGAGACAGGAATAGCACCTCTCTTCTAGGGTAGTTGGAAAGGTGATCTGTGTATGATGCACAATGCCTGGTATGTGAATCTTCTAGGTGACCTTAGCTGGCCCTATCATTTAGCATCCATCATTTTGGCTGGAGCCATTACCCACATCTAATTGGATCACCTCATTAAAAACTCACTCAGAGGCAGGTGTCTGGAGTGCAGCATCAAAACCACAACACTAGAAACGTCCTTGGTAGAAAAATAGGAGCTGCTTATCAAGCAACTGTTTTGAGCCTAGAGTCTCCAGAACTCCTTCGCTACAAGGCCTGGAACCCGGACTCTGTCGGTAAAGGTTGTTCAAAGAAATTTAAATGTGTGGATTCAAAATCACTTACTTTGGATGGTTTTTTAAGCCTCTTATCCTCACACTCTATATAAAAGAGAAATGTGTGGTCAGAAAACTGCTTTCTTAAACCATTCATTTTGTTCAGTTTTACCTGGAGAGCATAGTTGATGTTAAACGTTTGTGGCACTTTGCTTATTGATAAAATATAGTCCAAGCCAGTGATGGGGAACTTATAGAGCTCTCAGTGCTACAGCCAGCCTGCTGCAGCACGTGCGCCATAGGATCTCACCACTGGTAAGCTCTGAACTCCGTTAGTAAGTTACATATTTGTTTAAAGTGTCCCTGAATAGATAGAGCCTGCCCTTGTACTATAATTAGCCAAGGTTAAAAGAAGATTCTGATGAAATTGCTTAGGAGTTAATAATTTAAATTTTCAAGGGCTGAGAGGGAGGTTAGGGGAAATGCAAGGAATAAAATGTGCCACGGACAGGAATCCTATATTCCCAATCTGTGTAAGTATTCTAAGCCAAAGCATGAGCTGAGACGGATAGTTTCAACAGGCAATAAAAAGGTGATTGGGGAACTGGAGGAGGGAGGAGAAAAAGGAAGGGAATGGGAAAGGGCTTAAAAAAAGAGAAATGAGAAACAAACTAATGTGTTGGTCCCTAAGGTACTGCATGAATTACAAACATATCCTGGTCAAATCAAATGAAGCAGAAAAAAATTCCGAATTTTCTCATACTTTCTATTTCTCATAATGTCTATTTCTCATAATGTCTATTTCTCTTACTCTTGTATTTCTTTATAAATATATAGGTAGTTGAATTTAGTGACCAAACAATAGTAGGAGCATAAACACTAGGCATATTATAGGTTTTTACTTTTGAATTTTTTAAGGGAAAATTCATATAAAATTTATACCCATGCTAGTGATATCCTAACTTACAGTATGTTTTTAACTTTCATTTCATATTTTTATCTTTAGTCAGTGAATATTTAGAGATATATTTGGGCTTAAATTTACAAGGGTATAGAAGTTATATATAAATCTATGTACTTTTTAATTTTTAAAATTTTTTTTTTTTTTTTGCATTGAAGATAGAACTCATGACCTTGCACTTTTCATGCAGGCGCTTACACCACTGAGTTAAATTCCTGGCCCAAAAAGTTATATTTTGTTGTTATTACAGAAAATAATGTGTATTTTTTTTTTTGAGACAAGGTCTTACTTTTAGTGTAGGTTGGTCTGGAATTGACTCCTGCATGTAGCCCAGGCTGGTGTCATTGTTCCACATTGTACTTTTTGTTGTTGTTTTTGTTTTGTTTTCATTTGTTCTGTCAGTTGCTGAGAGCAGTATGTTAAAGCATCACGATGGTAGTATATTTATTGACTCATGTTCTTTCACTTCTCGTGCATTATGTTTGGAGGCTGTGCTTTGTTGTCATTTTGATATAAATTTTAGAGTTACTTGGTTTTCTTTTATAGTGTAATGATGAGTCTCAGCACTCAAAAGGCCGAGACAGGAGGGTGCCAGTTTGAGGCCAGACTCGGTTACATAGTAAGTTCAAGGCCAGGCTGGACTATGTAGCAAGACGCTGTCTCTGAGTGAAATGAATGAATGAGTCAACTCATCATGTATTGCTATTTCTTTCCTTGTAGGATCAGTTTTGCATGTCTTTCCTTTACTGCTAGTTTGAAAGGCATGCATTCTGTTTTAATTTTTGTAGTGATGTTTCTATTTTTAATGTGCATTCTTGATTAATTTAAAAATTAAAGCCTCTCTCTTCCCAAATAAAACAACTTAGAAAAGTCTAACCCAAACCTTTCCTCTCTTATTTATGTGTTTTCTGTTATTTTGTTCTACCTTGTTTTTTTATCTCCAAAAACTATTATTGCCTTATTCTTTCTTTTTTTTTTTAATTTTTTTTTGTCTTTTTCATTTTTTTATCGGTACCAGGGATCGAACTCATGACTGCCTGCTTGCAAGGCAGGCACTTATGCCGCTGAGCTAAATCCCCAGGCCCTGCTTTATTCTTTCTTGATTTAATTCCATATTTACCAGTTTATTTTCTTACCCTTACTTCTTGACCATTAGTGTTTCGTTTGGTTCATTTTTCTCCATCCAGAAGGATATACATGTCGCTGTTATGTCTTCTCAACCTTTGTTTAATGGAGACCATCCTTAGTCTGTTCTCATACTTGGATAATAGGTTAGCTGGACTAGCACTCAAAATTCAGACTTTTCCTTCATCATCTTAGAGACTCTGTCCCATGATGTTCTGATCTGTGAGCCTACAGCAGCAAAAGCATTTTGGGACTAGCATAGGAACAGAAAAATAGATTTATGAAACAGCATAGAATCTCAAAAAGACACTTTTATTAGTTATAGTTATATTAGTTATATATACTTTATAACTTTATAGTTATATATAATTTATGTTACATGACTTTATATATAGTTACATAAAGTTATGTATTAATGATAAGCCATTTAAATCCGTGAGAAAAATGTATTCAGTAAGTATTTTTTTTTGAGACATGCTTTCGTTACATAGCTCAGGCTAACCTGGACTCACTAGGTAGCCCAGGCTGGCCTTGAACTCATGGCAGTCCTCCTGCTTCAGCCTCCCATGTGCTGGGGTTCCAGGAATGCACCACCACACCTGCCCAGTAACTAGTATTGGAGAAATTCTACCTTAGTTTGGAGAATACAGCACCAAATATCAGTAACACATACACATGTGCAAAAACTTTGGCAAGTTTGAACTACATAGTGTTCATGAAGATAAAGAATTAGTATTTGTATAATCTTGATGTGAAACAAGACAGATATGATTATTATAAATTCTTATGACAAAAATATCATCAGAAAAGTTAAAAGCTGTATAACAAGAAAAATATTGTACACAACAAAAATCATATTATTATTTATGACTATATTAAGAACTTCCATACATTTTAAGGGGGAAAGAAAGGGGAAATATAAGCAAATAAGCATAAAAGTATTGCTTATTTGGCAAATATTGGTTAATGTTAGTAGTAACTTTAAAAATATAATGGTAAGATTGTTCAGTCACTCCTTGACTTGCAGAGATAAAGAATAATTTGGGGGGCTGAGGTGTAGCTCAGTGGTGGAACATTTGCCTAGTATGTGTAAGACCCTGGATTCAGTCTTTAAGAAGGAGGAAGAGAGATTGAGATTGATTTTTATTTTTATTTTTATTTTTAATGCCCAGGGGTAAATTTTTAAATATTATTTTTGGTAGGTAATCTGTGAACATTTATTAAAATTTTAAATTAATACATGTCTTGGTTTTAATAATTTAATCTCTTTTAATTATGAGGAAGTTATTGGATACATGTAATATGTAAACTAGTTAAGAAATTACAGATTTTAATCAGTGGAGGATTTTTAAAAATAAATGATGCTATACTAATAGGACAGAATACTATAGGTTTTTCAGATTATCATAGTGACATTTTTACAGTCTTTGGGGGCGGGTAATCAGGATTTGAACTCACGACCTCATGCTTGCCAGGCAGGATCTTACACTGCTGAGCTAAGCCCCCTGGCCCACAGTGACATCTTTAATAAAAAGAGAGGGACAATTCTAACTTTGCTATAAAATATGGAAAATTACAAAAATTCAGGGTATAATATGCAAAAAGCATAAAAAGATGAAAAGAATTTGTGCTAAAATTATCTTCTGTAGGTTCCAGATTTTGTGGATTAATTTATTTGATGTATACTTATTTTTATGAATACTGTGTATAAAGAGAATACATACGTGTGTATATATATATGTATTCATGTAAGCATTTTAAGAATATAAAAGTGTATTATTTGATAACTATTGGGAAATATCAGTGTTGGAGTCCTAACTTTCCCCTATTTTCCACCTAACAATAATTCCTAATTTGACAGTTTGGAGACTGAAGCCTGATAGCAACCTGTAAGAGAAATGTTTTTAATGTCCATTCATGACTGTGAAGAGGGGGATCTCCCGCAGTCCCTCAGATGTTATTTCCTTGGTGTTGCTAGTACTGTCTCCACTGTAATAACCTATGTCCATGCTGTGCGGAGTCCACGCTATGCAGAGCTTCTGTTCCCAGGCACGTCCTGAGACCAGATAAGCCAGCCCAGCGTGAGACGTAACTGTAGCTGGGTCATTGCTGCATCTTTTGTCCTGGCCACTGGGGGAGCTGGAGTCTGGGTCCGAGATGGACTGTCTCTACCTCTGCTCTTCCCCGTAGGCTCCCGGAGAGAGAGGTGCGGGTACCGAGTGGTGCGAAGACAGAGAAGTCCCGGGGAGCAGCTGCACTGCCTGAGCAAGGCCAAGAAGCACGGGGGCCACACGCCCCGGGCAAAGGAGCTGCTGCTGAGTGCGCTGAGCCCCGAGCAGCTGGTGCTCACCCTGCTGGAGGCCGAGCCGCCCAACGTGCTGGTGAGCCGGCCCAGCGCTCCCTTCACCGAGGCCTCCATGATGATGTCGCTCACCAAGCTGGCCGACAAGGAGTTGGTACACATGATCGGCTGGGCCAAGAAAATTCCGGGTAGGGCTCTTGGACTCTTAACATGCCACTGATCTATAGGAAGGCCTGCCCCTCCCGTTTTGGGGACAAGAGTGTGAAAGGAACATCCATGAACTCTGTCTAGAGTTCATGTTAACAGTTTGACATCTTAGTTTATAAGTGTAACATAAAGTGTGTTCTTTCCTCCTATCTCGGTATATGCACCTTCAACATTTCCTGGAAGCCAACCTCTGATCGAGAACTCTAGGTCTCTGAGTTCTCTACCAGATGTGGTAGCTTGTGAAGGCTGTGCCTGGCCTCTTTCCTTTCCTGACGCTCTTCTTTTCCTCACCCTCTGATGCTGTTCCATCCCATGGTGCACACTGCATCCCAGCATCCCACATGTCTGCATCTCCTGTGGGTACTGCCTGTTAGCTACCTCCCATGCCTGGGGCAGGCTGCAAGGTGGATCCAGGGAAGAGGCCCATCGAGCCTCTGGAGTTAAGACTTGGGACCGTTTGGGCAGACATTCCAGGGCTTAGGGACCAGGAACATACTTAAAAGGGGGGATGTGGCCTCCACATTGATTGGTCTCTTGACTGTGGACTTCTTGCCTTGAGAAGAGCAGTGTGGTGCGGTGGGGATGCAGTATTTCTGGTATGAAAGTGAAAGGTTTCTCAGATGCTAAGTGGAAGTAGAAGACTGTTCTAATAAGGTACCAGTGCTGTACGCATAAATGACTACACATGAATACACAGAAGAAATTAGGATTTGGAATAACAAGAATCAGTGGGTCAGTAGTTTTGGGATGGTAACAATGAACATTGATGATCTGTCATTTAGAATGTGTATTTTCCCATTCGTACAGTGGTCACTTTCCCAGACTGTTTGTAATGTGTACAGATAGTTCCCCACTTACAATGGTTCAGCTTAGAGTTCTTCCACTTTATAATTCTGAAAGCATATCCACTCAAGCATTTTGTTTTTCCTCTTCAGCACACAAGGCTCCTGTTTTTCTCCTTCCATACAGTATTCCATGAGCACTGTGAGCTAATCAACACTTTATTATAAAACAGGCTTTTGCTAGGTGACTTTTGCCTGTGTGCTAAGCATGCTTAGGGTAGGTGAAGGTAGTTACGACATTTGGTAGGTTAGGTTTATGAAATTCTTTTTTCTTTTTTGAGATAGGATCTCACTGTGTTGGCTAGGCTAGCCTCAAATTTCTGGGCTCAAGTGATCCTCCTGCTTCATCCTCTCCAGAAACTCGGATGCAGCTAGTAAAATCACATGCCTGGCTTTATATGCACTTTTTACTTACGGAATTTTCAACTTACTTTCAGTTTATCTTACCGTTTCCCTACAGTAAGTTGAGGAGTGTCTGTACGTAAAGCGCTAACACGACCAACCATCATTTGAACGGGAGTTTCTTTCTATGAAAGAGAAACTAGAATACTAACCCAGAATAGCAGCAATCCGTCACCCCCTTCTCCCACCCCACAAAGAGCTTCTCCATCCACTTTTGTAGCCATCTAGGAAGCAGGGTCTCTGTCCAGGCTCTCAGCTGGGAAGTGTTTCCACGGCCTGCAGGGCACCACGACAGTAGGGAGCGATAAAGCCTGGGCTGGATGAGAAGCTGCATGAAGCAGAGTTGGGGTAGTGGGAGCCAAGGCCCTGGGTGACAGCGTTGCTTGCGGAAGTCTGCTGGCCCGGGTCTGTGCCTTTTTGAGCTTTCCGAGGCTTTTCTTATTTCCTTGCTTTATTTTGTCTGGCATCTTCACCTTTGTCAGAATTCTTTCATTTTCTCCACTGCTTCCAAGAGGAGAAAACACACATGCACTTTCCTCTGGTTTTTGCTTTAAATGCATTCCAAATACTAATTTTTTTTTTTTTTTTTTTTTGCGGAACCAGGGATCAAACTCATGACCTTGCACTTGCTAGGTAGGCGCTTATGCCACTGAGCTAAATCCCCGGCGCAAATACTATTTTGCAGGACCCCACAGGCAGAGTGTTAGTGAAATTAATTATCACCAACAGCTGTGCAGCTTCTTTGTGACTTAACAAAACTGAATGTCTGAGCAGCGTTAGTCCCTTTTCAAACTGGTGTTTTTTTTGAAAGTTTTACAGAAAATTTAACTATAATCTGAAGGTGTGCTTCTCCCATCACAGCTGACCTGGTTATTGTTATTAATAAAGAAATATTAAACTGTTGTCTAGCCTTGGTCCTTTTGAATATAAGAATAAAAAAGCTTGTCCTCTCTCAAGTAGGCTCAGGGACTGTGATTATGAGGGAGATAGAAAAGTGCACCCATTATGAACCAGAACTAGACATAAGCTGTGGCTTGGGGAGGCTGCAGTCATTACTCCATTAAATTCTGCTTTGTGCAGGTTTGTAGTGTCAGTGTTCAGAGTTGAGCGAGCTGTGGGCTCTGTGCCAGTCTCCTCAGGGGTAAGTGGTTGTAGTAAGAGATTCTACCTGTAGGCAAGCTTCCTCCGTTTCTCCTATTTAAAAACAGATTTAAAAGGAGAGTAAAGGATTGGAGCGGGGATGGCTCAGTGGTAGAGAACTTGCCCAGCATGACTGAGGCCCTGGGATCCATCCCCAGCAGAGCAAAACAAAACCATATTAAATAACTACCAAGGAAGGATATGGCTGATGTGCAGACTTGAGTTCATTTCACTGCAAGGCTGTGCCTTTGGCTCCCTGCCCCATCATGGCTTATGGGAGGATCTGCAGTGTTTGCTGCTTTGCTTTTAAAAATGCTCTTTTTGTTTGTTTCTTTTGAGACAGTGTCTTGCTTTGTAGTTAGGCTGGTCTTCAATTGACTATGTAGTCCATGCTCACAGTGATCCTGCCTCAGCCTCCCAAATGCTGGGATGACAAATGTGCACCACCACAGTGGGGAAAAATAGATGCTGATTTTCTTAGAGATTACCTGTCTCATCCCAGTTCTGTGTCTAGCAGATGCTCCTGGACCACCAGGGCTTGATTTGGCTGTGGCATTAGCTCTTCAGGATGAAATCACCTGGGGTCAGTGTTCTCCCTGGAAGAGTGATCGTCACCCGGATGGGAAATTTTTAAGCAATTCAAGAAACAATTTCAGCTGAAGCTTTGACTTTCTGCAGAGTCCTGTGCTACTCTCTGTTTTCCTGACTTCTGTCTTTGTCCATGTAGCCTCCTCCTCTCATCAGCAGTGCCCAGAATTGTTAGGATGCTATAGCTCCCGAGGTTCAGCCCTGGCCTTCTGTTCTGGCGTCTTCCTGGGGAGCCCAGTAGCCCAGGTCATAGCTTTTTATACAGTACATACAAAATAAACTTTGTCATTTAGGAGTCCAGGGCCAGCAACTTCAAGTTGTGTATTTTCAGTCCAGACATTTCTTCCTTTAAAAACTTGCTGTTCTGTCTTTACAGAAACGGGCTCGGAGGAGGAGGGTGGGTGTGTCTCACGGCCTCTTGCTTTCCCCAGGCTTTGTGGAGCTCAGCCTGCTGGACCAAGTGCGGCTCTTGGAGAGCTGCTGGATGGAGGTGCTGATGGTGGGGCTGATGTGGCGCTCAATTGACCACCCCGGCAAGCTCATCTTCGCTCCAGACCTCGTTCTGGACAGGTGAGGAAGCAAATTCCTGATGCATCTTCTCTGACTTGAGTAAAGCACTTAGTGAGAACAAAGTCATGGGAGCCGCAATTAAAGTCTCACACCCCAAAAGGCAGTCAGAGGATGGAAGCGCGCTCAGCTCCTTCCCTGGGCCAGGACCTGAGGAGAGGAGAGCGTGAAAACAAGGACTCAGTAGTGTCCTGTGATCCTTTCTAACCTACAGTGTAGGTTAGAACTTAGCAGTCAGAGGCCAGGGCCACGGAGAGGGTGTGTGTCCTGCAGGGTCCTGGCCACTGAGTGTACAGTCAACACAGATTTTTCTGCATTACAAATTCTACTTCCAGTTATACTGTTGAGTTGTTCTGCTGTTTTATCCTACTTATAGCAACTCATTATGACATCTCCAACTAGCTGGGCAGGTGGGAAAATTCTTACGACTCTGCCAAATTTATTTTCATGTGTTTTAATTCACTCTAATATGTGTACTGTTAACAGCATATTTTGAAAAAAATTGTGGAGGGAATGGTTACTAAAACCGGCTGAAACCAACAAGAGTTGAGACCTGACAGTACTAGTATCATAACTTGGTTGCATTTAATTTTCTTTTAAAGATAGCACAGGGGAGGAAAAACTTTTTAATTGACTCAGTCAAACTGTTTTTAGAGGGAAAATGAATATACAACAACATTCAAGCCTTTTTGCAAGAAACCTAGAAAAGTCTTGGTGTAAGGGTGAGCAGGTTGAAAGCCCGGTGGAGGCTGATGTCCACTTCCCCTTATATTGAACAAGTCCTGGTGTCGAGTGTTCAGACGCAGTTGAGCAGCGTGAGGAGGACGCCTGGCGCTGTGAGCCCAAAGTGCCTGCCCCAACTCTCGCATCGTAATCCTGTTACACTTTAGGTCCTCAGAAGACCCTCATTCGCACGGCATGCAGATGAAGAATGATGCCTCAAGGTATCAGCACCCATTCTGCCTGTTGTCATGGATGACCCTGACAGAGAGCACTGTTCTGAGTAATGGAGGTGTTTTGGTGGAGAACAGAGGAAGAGCAGAAGCGTGGGATGTGGCTTGAACAGGAGCAAGCCCAGGTGGTGGACCACAGAGGGACGCCCTGGAAGCCCAGGGCGGGGTGGGGCATCAGACCCTCCAGTAACAATCAGAACGACTAACTTATTGGTTGTGTGTACCAGGCACCATCTAGGCACTTGCATTTGTTGAGCCATTTAATCTTCATAACATCTGTTTGGGGGTAAGCGCTATTATCATCCCTGTTCCTCAGACACAGAGACGCAAGGTTAAGTGACTACCAGTGATAGACTAGCAAGTGGTGGGACTGGCCTGGAAGAAATGGCCATGAAGTCTACACTTTTCTTTCTTCCCTCTACCCGCCATGCTGGAGATTGCACCTAGGGCCTTGAGCATGCATCCTCACCAAAAATCTTGAGTTGGGACTTGCCGAGTCACCCAGGCTGGCCTTGAACTAGTGACCCTCCTGCATCAGCCACCCTCTCCCCACCCCCCACTAGCTGGGATTCTAGGTGAGCATACCATGCTGCAGTGGAAGTCTGCACTCTAACAGCAGCGCACTGCCCCCTGGCAGGAGAGAGACTGAGGGGGCAGAAGGGCAGGCTTTCTACTTTTCTTTTGTCTTAGAACAGCTCTGTCCTATCTCTGTCCACTTTAAAAGCCCGCTGCTGCTGTCTTCGCAGGGTATCGTGTTCGGGTCACGCCCAAGCAGCTGCATCCTTTCATCCCCACATGATGATTTAAATAAAGCCACATACTCCTTCACGTACACACATGTGCGTATGAATATACACATCCAGTTCTTCTAGAAGTTAATGCTAGAAAGATGTGCTGCCTCTTGATGAGCCAATAAGTTTGCAGATAGTGGGATTAGGTTTACTTTTTGTCTTTATTTCTAAATTAATACCAAACTGTTCATTTTCAGTGACTTTCATTTCTGATTTTCATTACAGTTAACTCTTTCCTTTCTCTGTGGGGGTTCCTTAATTCCTTGTGTTTAAGTTACTATGTTTAAATTACTATAAATTAACACTAGACTTGGATAAATGGTATGCCTCCCTGTTAGGTAATAGGAGAAAGAATTTTAATAGATTCTCATTACTCTATAAATATCTGAAACTCCCATTACTTATAACATAAATTTAACATATTTCACTGAATATGGAAGCATTTACATTAGGCAGGCATTTTAGTTTGGTTTGGTATTGATTGTTATGTTCCTTTTGAGACAGGTCTTACTGTGTAGTCCAGGCTGGCTGGTCTTGAACTTGGCAACCCTCCTGCCTCATCCTCCTAGGTGCTGGGATTATAGGTGTGCACCACCATGTCTCACAACAGCAGACTTTTTTTCTTTGGGAGTGCCTACTGGTATTTTTTGTTGCTATCTTACAGTATCAACAGGATACTAACTTTGTGAAGTCTATAGAGTTTCAAATCTAAGATAATTTACTTAATGTTTCTCATAGATGAATACTGTTTTGTGTGTAGTAGGTATGTTTCTGGAGGAGATGCTTATCCCATAAGAGATTGTATTATAAATATTTTTGCAAAGTAAATAATCTTCATACTACTTAACAGTAAGTTTTTTGCTAGATTGTCCCACCAGAATTCCTTTATTCCATTCGTATAAGAAATGAATTCAATTAAGTTAGCATGTAAATAGATACTGAGGTTGCAGCTTCTATTTCCTACTATTTTTTTTAAATAGTTTTGACTGGCCTTGAAATTACTTCATAGCCTAGGCCCAGATTTGGGACAATTTTCTTGCTCCAGCCTCCCAAGTGCTGTGATTATAAGCATGCACCACCATGTCAAGCCCCATTATTCTTGTTGAGGCTTCTGCAGAAGGTAAACTTAAACCATGAAATGGAAATCCAGTTATTTCATCGTATTTCTAACAAGCTAGTTCTTCTAGAATCATAAATTGATGTGAAGATTTACCATGACTGCTAGTTAAAATATTGTAACTGGGTTTGGTGGCACACACCTGTAATCCCAGCTCTGGGAGGCTGTGGAGCAGGAAAATCATGAGTTTGAGCCCACTCTGGGCAAAACAGTACTTACTGAGATCCTGTCTCAAAATAAAAAATGAATGAAGGGCTGGGGATGTAACTCAGGGCAAAAGCCTTGGTTCAGTCCTCAGTATTGGAACAGAAAAGCATAAACAGCTGGGCAGGGACTCATGCCTGAAATTCCAGCCATGCAGGAGGCTGAAGCAGGAGGATAGTGAGTTCAAGGCCAGCATGGGAAACTTCATGACTTAGCAAAGACCCTGTCTCAAAAAGGAGTCTGTGTGTGTGTGTGTGCGGGGCTGCACCTCAGTGATAGAATACTTGCCTAGTGTGCAAGAGGCTCTGAATTCAACCACACACACACACACACACACACAAACACACACACATTTTTGCATCTGCGTGTTATCTACACCTAAATGTCATTAAAGTTTTGGAGGAGGTTCCTTGGAGTCAGATGACTGTGAATGCACAGAGTTTGCACACACATTTGCATTCACATATTTAATAGATATTAAAATTTTTGTGTCTAAATTTTAATTTACTCTTTGTCTCCAAGTAATTTCACTTCAGTTCAGTATTCAGTAAGCCCTCTCTGTGCTAAGTGTTGGGTCCCTGTAAGGTGGCCATGCAGGTACACATAGAGGTACAGAGCAGCGTACCCAAAGTGGGGCCCACTCATTCCACATTTTGTTGTTCTGTCAAACAGGATAGATTTTTAAATAAAAGAGCAATTGTTAAGTAATAAGATACTTCATAGATAATTACTAATTTTTTATTTGTACTGGTTTATGAATCAGTGGTGTGCAGAAAGTGTATTTCCATGAGTAGGTTGGTTTGACTGGTGTATTGTTGCACTATTTTAACACTGAAATCATAAGTTTTCCCCTTAATTCAAATCTTTGGCTTCTGTCCTAATTTCTTACTTATAACTCAGTTTCGACCCTATATATATGAATGATATATATGAATACCCAATCTATAAATGAAATTGATTTCCTCTAAGTTTTAAGGTACCTCCTCCCTTTGTTCTTTACAAACTCTGAAAGAGCTTTACTAGACACTAATTTATGAGGTGTTATGCTTTGCGCCCCCTGTATTCATCTTTTATTTTCTAAAAATGTATTTGCTTTCCACAGCCTGTGAAGTTAATAAAATATTCTAACCTTGAAAGTAGTAAATGTTCTAGTTATGGCTTGAAACTGAGTTATAAGTTAGAAGTTGAAGATTTGAATTACAGATAGAGAACTTAGGATTTCAGGGTTAAAATAGTGTGGCGTATGCCGGTCACCGACCTTAAGGCAGTAGTCGTCTGCCGCACCTGCTGACGCAGGCGTGAGCGCAGTCAGGGCTGGGCCGCAGGATGGGTGTCAGTCCTGGTGCAGCCTGTGGCGTGCTGCCGTGAGTGACACACAGAGCCCTCTGTGTTGGTATTTGGGCCAAGTCACCCCAGCAGCCGAGCATCAGACAACAGCTGTTTTTTCTGGACTAAAAACTCAGTATTGGGATTTAGTCGTAGTGTTGTCACTTTGTCTCTAGAAGTCTCATGATCACTGGTTTAGAAGTTCACTTTTTCCATGCAGTGCATGTGCTAATTACTGTGAATTCAGCCTTCATCAGGGCTTCAGATGCCCTAATAAACCCTCTCCCCATTTCGAAGTAGGAATTTTTATCTAAAGTGGCATTTATTTAATGAGGAAATGATACTGATTTCAGTATGTATGGACCATTCTTAGCACAGGCAGCAACTTCTGGAAAGTCGGGTTGATTTGAGGTGCACCTCCTCGGGGAAGTGTGTTTGCAGTGTTGCTGCATTGTCCACCTCTGACTTTGGCGCTCAGAGAATGGCCAAGAGTAAACTATTAAAGCATCAGTGCAGGAGTTGGTTTGTCCCTAAGTGATATTTCAAAATCAGCTTTTTCCAGTACCATGTGTCCTCGAGCTCAGCAGCTGTAGTTCTAATGACTAACAGTCCCCAGGTAACTGGAGAGACTTGATCTGGCAGCATGCGGGGCACTCCATGACGAGGGTTCCTGTGCTGTGTGCCTGCTGTGTACATGCAGAGCCACTGTCCTCAGTGAGAGGCCCAGAGCTGAGGAGGTGGTCGGGAGAGACAGGGAGATGTCATGTGGAGAGGGCTGGGTTTCCACAGACTCTGGCACTCTTTCCCCATCTTCTGTCCTCCAAGGCACTCTTTCCTGTGTGTACCTTGTAGAGGTCCCTGGCATTTGTAACCTCTGTGCCTTCAGAGAGCTGCATCTGTTTGCAGAAGCTACCGTGCTGATTTGCCAAAGTGAGCAGTTTTCGTGTTTTTACCCTGTGGAGGCGAGTCTGCAGGGTCACGAGTGCCGTGGAACGGAGGATCCTGGGGGCTGCCATCCTAGCTGAGCACCTGGGGGAAGAGAGCTCCCCGAGACAGTTGGTACCTAGCGGTGTCAGTTTATCTGAATTCTGCAGGGCTGCCCTCCAGATGCCATACTCACTGGAAATGTTCTGGCTCGGGGTTCCAGCAGGGGGCGAGGAGCAGCTGCAGCTTTAGAGACCTCATGCTTCTTTCAGGGGCAGCTAAAGAGACTAAAAATGAGGTACAAAGGGGCCCACTGCCACCAGGGGGGCCCTTCACTGTGTGCTGCAGGCTTTCAGGAGCACTGAGGGTTTTGTGTCTAAATCCCCAACCTCCTGTCATAAACCTCCAAAAACCTTTAACTGATGATAACAGAAGTGTTTTGAGAGCAGTGAGGTGGAACGATGTATGTCTGAGTAGAGTGAATAAAAGCCAGTATTTTTCTACATAAAGTAAAATAATTTACTTCAAAGGATACTTAAAATTCATTTGTGTAAGGAGTGCTCAAAAGAACGATTATATAGTTCAAAGTTTTGTGTAAAACATTTGCTTAAAAATAAAACAACCTTCAAGCTGAGTGAAGAGGTATCCCAGGTATCTAGTAGTCCCAGGTGGCTGAGGCAGGAGGATTGCCTGACCCCGGGATTCAAGACCAGCTTGGGCACCATAACAAGAGCCCATGTCAACAAAACAAAACGAAACAAAACAAAACAAAATCTTCAGCAAATTAAACATTTCCATATCCCTATATCTACCTTTTCCTGACTTTAGGCCATCTTCGATTGTGATTTCTTTGTACGTTGCATTCATTTATTTCAAATTACATGTAAGTGTCTCAGTTTCTACATAGCCACTAGGAAATGAGAACGGAAGGTTTATTCTTCTTTGAGGAATTTGCTCCTGTAATGCTCAGCCTTCTCCTTAACACTTTGAGGGAATGTGGAATATCTCATTTTAATAGCGTGTCTAGTGAGGGTCGATGGACTGAAATGGTTTAGATTGAAAATAATCAGCACAGCAGAACTCCTGTGGGAAATATTCAGCGAGGAGGCAGGAGAAAACACGTAGTTCTGAGACACACTTTGCCTAAATAGTGGCATGAATGTTTGCATCAAGGATTTCTAAGAATGCCTTTTTTATTTTTATCTGCATTGCTGGGAATTGTACATGCAAGGCAAACGCTCTGCCAGTGAGCCGTGTGCCCAGCCTGCCTTCTTGATGTGAAGATGTTTCTAGCAACTTCCTGCCGCTGGCTGTGGCCTGTATTCATACTACATCATAGTCAAAAGATGCACGAGGTGAAAACTGAGGCGAAAAAGAAAAATGCTCCTTGTTGCTGTAATGGTTCCCTGAAGCCGTGTGTTCCTTAAATTCCTAAATGAACTTTTGTAGGGATGAGGGGAAATGTGTAGAAGGAATTCTGGAAATCTTTGACATGCTCCTGGCAACAACTTCAAGGTTCCGTGAGCTAAAACTCCAGCACAAAGAGTATCTGTGTGTCAAGGCCATGATCCTGCTCAACTCCAGTAAGTAACCGCCCCGCGGGCTGCGCTTCGTGGGGGAGAGACACTGTTCCTAGAACTTGCATGATGTGGAGCCCTAAACATCTGTTTCATTTTAAAGGGGGAGAGTGGCTTCTTTTCTGCCCTCTCAGTTTTATTTTTATAGGGATTTAAACTGTAGTTAATGTTTGGTAACACGCATAAAGTATTCATCGGCAGCCCAAAGTGGTTCATTAAAAAATACCTTTAAAGTATTTTCCATGCAACTGTTTTCTTTTTTTAAGGCTTTGATGGACATTTTGCGTGATTGACTTGGATCTATATTTAATGTTTTGGGTTCTGCTTTTACAGATGGATTGATTGCTTGATTCATGTGTTCATTCAGCAAAGACCCCAAAGATACAGTCCTACCCTCAGATAGCTCATAGTGGGTGGAAAGAGAGGAAGCAAATCATAAAAACCCCCCTTTGGTGCTGCAGGAGAGCGGGGTGGCGCGGGAGGGATGGGGGAGGCAGTGTTTGAATGAGGCTTCAGGGAAGACGGGAAACGGACCAGCTGTAAAAGGCGGTGCCTGGGTGCAAATGTCTGCTTTAGGGAGGCAGAGCAGGCACAGCAGGGGCTCTGACCAGGGAATGTGTGCACAGAAAAGTACTAGAGAAAGGTCACCCCACTTCCATGCGAGGGCTAACTGGAAAAGGGAGAGACTGAGGCAAGAGGCCTTTAGAAATATCAGGGTGACAGCATCAGAGGGACCTGACTTCAGAAGCGGGACTTCCGGAAGGTGTCTGGGAAGTAAGGATGTTTGTTCTCTTACCCTGTGAGCAATACCTGGTCTTTGTGAACACTAAAAAGAAAAGCATACAAGGGAGAACTTGTAAATCACCAGGAATACCCTTGTGCTCTGATGGGTACTGGGTGTAGTACCACAGCAGTGGTAAAAAGTTAGCACCTGGTTAAAGGGGAACAAAAGCAAGCCTGAAGGGTCAAAGTATTGGGGAGTAATTTACTCAAGCCAGCACAAAGCTGAAGAATAGTTAAAAGAAGGGGCCAAGGCATAGCTCAGTTATTTGCTTGCCTAGCATTTGTGAGGCCATAGCATAGATTCAGTCCCCAACACTGCCTCCCAAAATTCAGTTAAACGTGTATCATAAGCCTTAGTACACCAGTTAAAATAAATTTTCAGAGTTAGGGCTATTGTGCCAACAAAAGAGATAAAAATAGAATCATAAAAACAGTTTGAAGAAAGATGCAAAACTAACTCCCTCAAGAATAGGTGAGGGAGAAACTAAAAAAATAGATAATACAAATAGAAAACAATGAGATAATAAATTAAAATCAGTCGCATCACATTAAACATAAATATGGCAACCACCTCAACTAAAAGTAAAAGACTGGATAAATAAGCAAGCTGCAACTCTTGGCTGCTAACAAAATACACCCACTTAAATATATATATGCATGTATAAACAGTAGAAGGATCAACGGATATATATATACTAAGACTGATCAAAAGAAAACTGGAATGTTATATTATATACCTAAACCTTAGAGCAAAGACTATATCTAAAGTGAATCATTGCATAATGATAAATAGATAGATTTATCAGGCTGTATAAAAGTTTTAAATATTTGTGCATCAAACAGCCAAACTTCAAAATATATGAAACAAATTATGATAGAACTACAGGGGGAAATGGATACATTTCTGTTGGTTGGAGATTTTAACACTTCTCTCCCAATAATTGATGAAACAGGAAGACAAAATCAGTAAGTGTAGTGAAAACTGGAAAGCAGTGTCAACCTGCTTGACCTAATTGGCTTTTATAAACCCTACACTAGGCAGCAGCACAAAACATATTGAAGTGTGCAGGGAATATTTATCAAGAAAGAAAATATTTTGAACTATAAAACATCTCAATTAAAAAAGATATGAACAATACAAAGTACTTTTTCTCTAACACAATAGAACTAAATGAGAAATTGGTTTACTGTAATACCTTGATTCATGAATGTTTCTGTTTGCAAAGCATTTGGTTTGTAAAGAAAAGTGTTCGGCAAAGCTTTATTTCTGTTTGCAAACTCTGCAAACAATCATAGTCACCTTCCCAACACAAGCACAAATGCATCTTCCCCAAAATTGTAAAACAGGTTTGTAAACCAAGGGACCATTGTATTTGGAAAAATTTCCAAATATCTTAGAAACCAAGTAAAATGCCTCCAAAGAACCTGTAGGCTATGGGAAGAAAAAGTAAAAGTATTTTTTGAAATTATTGAAGATAATGTAGCTAAAGCAGTAGTTTGAGGGAAAGGGGTATTGTACTCTGTGCCCACATTATAATAGGAGTAAGGACTCAAATTACTGACCTCAGTTTCCACACTTAATAAGCAAGAAGTAGAACAAATGAAATCTAAAGCAAAAGAAACAAAATGATAAAGATCAAAATAGAAATCAGTCTAACAGAAAAGAGAAAAATAATAGAGGAAAATCAAGGCAATCAAAAGCTGGTTCTTTGAGATCAGTAAAATTGATTAGCATATAGCAAGTCTGAGATAAAAGAAAGACATATTATCAATCCCAGGAAAAGAGATGAGTCTGTATTCTGTAGCTACTAGACAGATTAAAAAGGAATAGTATGAACATTGGAACATGTAGGTGAAATGGACATATTCCTTGAAAGATACAAATTACCAAAGCGCAACCGAGAAGGATTTAAAACCCTTAATTAAAGAACTTGATTAAAGACCTTGATGTGGATACAGTGGTGAGTGCCTGTGCTACCAGCATGTGGAGAACTTGCAGAATACTCAAGATGTGTTACAAAACCACAGTAATCAAAACAATATGGTGTTGCTGTCAAGATAGACAGGTGGGCATGGTGTTGCACACCTCTAATCCCTACACTCAGGAGGCTGAGGCAGGAGGATTGCTGTGAGTTGGAGGCCAGGCTGGGCTACAAAGTGAGTTCAAGCCCAGCCTTAGCTGCATAGTGAAACTTTGTTTCAACCAGTATAATGGAACAGAAATATGCCTGTACCTCTAATGATTATTGCTAAACGTATCAAGATAATAGAAAAAGAATGTTTTCAAGAAGTGATCTTAAAATATTAGGCAGATATATGCAAAAACTGAATTTTGATGTAGCCTCATTCCATATTACAGCAATTTAAAATGGATCACAGACCTGCCTGTAGAAACTAAAATCACAAAACTTCTAGAAAATCTTGTTGATGTGGGATTTGGCAAAGATTTCACTTAATCACAAGAAACAATACAAATTTAAAAATTCATCAGTTGGGTTTCAACATAATTTAAAACCTTTTATTTTTTGAAAGATCCCTTATAAAAATGAAAAAAGACACAGTCCAGGATAAAGTATTTACAGAACATACATTCTAACACAGGATACTACCTAAATGTGTAACAAACAAAGCGTGATGGCACATACTTGTAATCCCAGCACTCTGGGAGGTTGAGGCAGAAGAATCCCAAGTTAGAGTCTAACCTAGGCAATTTAGTGTCTCAAAACTGCAAAAAATAAAGGACTGGGCTGTATCTCAATGTGAGGGCCTTGGCTTCAATTTCCAGTACTACCAAAAACAACAAAGTGAATGAACTCAGTAAGAAAAATAACCCACTTTAAAAAATGACCATGCCAGTACCCTCAGTACTCAGGAGCCTGAAGTAGGAGGATTGTTGCAAGTTTGAGATCAGCCTGGGCTACAAAGTGAGGTCAAGGTCAGCCTGAACTGCATAGCAACACCCTGTTTCAAAAGAAAAAAATTAAAAATGACCAAAGTTTCAATAGATGCTTTAAAGTGTCCGTACAAAGATGTACTGATGGCAGAAAGTCACATGAAATGTTACTCTGGTGGTTATCTATTAAAGTAATGCAGATTAAACACACACACACACGCACGCATGCACGCACGCACACACGCACACCCTAATAGAATAGCTAAAGTAAAAAACATAAACCAGGGAGCAAGTGGAATTCTTGCTGGTGGAAATGTCATTGGAATAACTTTGAAAACCTGTTGAGATGTTCCTAAAAAGTTAGGGCTGGGGATTTAGCTTAGCAGAAGCATCTGCCTGGCAAGCAGAAGGTTGTGAGTTTGATCCCCGCTTCCCCCAAAAAAGTTCACTGTACATGTCCCAGAAAGTTAGTCCTTCCGTTTGTTGGTATTTACCAGAAAGAAAAGTATATGTCCGTATAAACACATGTGCAACTATGTTCATAGCACCTTTAATTGTGTAACAGGAAACTAGTAGCAATTTAAATGTCTAGTGATTTGCGCAGCCAAATGAATGAATCTCAAAATAGTAGTGCTGAGTGAAAGAATGCAGATGCAGAATCCTACATACGGTGTATTATATGCCATTTATAAATTGCAGGAAAAGGAAGCTGATCTAGGGGAACAACAGATGAGTGGTTGCCAAGGAATGGGCCGGGGCCTGGGGAGGGAGGAGGGACAGATTATCAAAGGACATAAGGGAGCTTTTGGGAGTGAGGAGTGTGGTCCATTACCTTGCTGTGTTGATACATATGTGAGTTAAGATGTATCAAATTGTGATACATTAAATATGTACAGGTTATAGTATGTTACCCTTCAGTGAATTGGTGAACAATATGAAAAAAAAAAAACAGAAGGGGAAAAAAAGATAAAAAGGTCAGTGAAAAAGATTTGCACCACCAGGCAAGGAACCAAGCACACCACAGAGTTGAGGAGACAGGGGCTGAGTGTCCCCCCTCCGGTCCAGGGGCTGCTTTGCTGGGCTCTGTAGCCTGGGGCTGCCTGTGCTATTCTCCAGCTTAGCCTGGCCTCTGTTTCCCTGGCTGTAAGACAGGCTCAAATTGAAATTAAGCCCTTCAGTGGGGGATGCCCTGGTATCAGCATGCTAGAAGGCCAGGTCATGGTTTGTCAGAAGTGACATTTTAAATAACTTCCTATTTCTGGGTTGTGTATTTATTAATAATGAGTATTATATGGTATGGAAATAAGCTTTATGCAACTAAGTTTCAGCTCAGTTCTTGTTGCATGTTACTGACTTGCTTTTGCTCTGGCATAGAGAGAGATCCTCAGACAGTTGAGAGTCTGCTCCTTTGTGGGCTTCAGTGGAAGGGGCGCATCTTCCTTTCTGGGGAGATGGGGTTTTCACTTTATCTGTCAACCCTTTCCTACCCTGTGAGTGTAGCATGGGGGTCTGGAATTACTGTGTGGCATTCAGTCTTTGATTTGCCTCTGGATCGCAGACACAAGTCACCTTTAACAGGCTGTTACAGTGTTCAAGTGTTTTATACAGTGAAAGATGCTGGGTGAGGGTTGTGGTTAACCATATACACGGTCAGGAGTAGAGGGAGCACCCTTGCCACCTGGGAGCCTGAAGACTAGAACAACCCTTCGGAAGAGTTACCGAGCATACTAAATCCCATCCTTGGCGTTTTCTCTCAAAAGCCAGGAAATTTTCTGTCTGGTCAGTGTGCTAGGATTTTAATTAGATGCTTCATTTTAATTTGCCTTCAGCCAAGGAAAGCTTTGAACATAAGCCCCTAACAGTCTTGGCCTTCGTGCTTCTCAGAATATCATCAGGCGGGCTCCTGATAGTGGGCACAGCTGTCTCCAGCAGTACGGGAGGGAGGCGATCATGTCCTTGATTTTATTCACTGTCTTTGGTACATGTAGGGCATTGTACCAACATCTTATCTTTATTACTGGAGTTCTGTAGTTTCAAAAGTAATTTAACTTTGTTCTGCAAAGAATCCTGATATTTCTACTTTAAGGGCTAAGGAGGAGTCGTTTTTGTTGATTGCTTGGTTGGCAGGGCTCTGAGTCCTGTCCGTGGCCCCCATCCGGGACCCACTTTTTAGCCGTTGCCCTGTAACATGCATGGGGCAAGGGACAGCTGAAGTGCCAGGCGCAGGCTCTCCTGACGGGCAGTGAGGCGGGAATTCTGAGCCCAAGTGTTTCCTGGGATAATTTTATATGTGTGTAGCTCTTCCTTCCTTCCTTTCTTTCTCTCTCTTTCTTTTTCCTTCCTTCTTTTCTTTCTTTCTTTCTTTCTTTCTTTCTTTCTTTCTTTCTTTCTTTCTTTTTTTTTTTTTTTTACTAGGAATTGATCTCAGTGTTTGCCAGGCAGGCACTGTGCTGCTGAGCTAAATCTCAGTAGATCTATTTCCTCCATATACAAATTTGATATGGCAGGTGCACCCCACAAACTGCCTGCTCTGGTTCTGTGTGGAGCTGGCTGCACCAGTGTCTGGGGGAGACCTGGAGTCTTCCCTGGCAGTCATGCTGGTTCACGAGGGGGTGGCCTGGCCACCAACACATGTTCTCTCCTTGGAGCTGGCTCTCACACTCTGGGGCACTCATGTCTCTGTCATTTTGATTCCAAGGCATTATTTTTATTACTAACAATTTTATTGTGACATAATTCACATATGATGCAATTCACCCATTTAAAGTACACAGTTCAGTGTTTTAAAAATATATTCGCTGTATTTAGTGTCATCATCATGAAAATAACTTAGAACATTTTTATCACCCTCAAAGAAGTCTCATCTCCGTTCTTACCCAATCTACACCCTGAGGCAACTGTGCCTCTATTTCCTGTGTCTGTAGTTTGCCAATTTTAGATATGATTTCCTATAAGTGGAATGTAGTCTTTTATGACTGGCTTCCTAGTATGCTATTTTTAAGGTTCATCTAAGTCATAGCATCTCTCAGCATTTACTTTATGTGTGTGTGTGTGCATGCACACACTGAGAATTAAACCCAGGGCTTCATGCATGCTAGGCATCGCCTGCATAATTTCTTTTTATGGCTGAATAATATTCCACTGAGTGGATAGATCATATTTGATTTATTGTCTGATGGCCATTTGAATTACTTCTGCTTCTAGGCAGTTGTGAGTCAATGCTACCATTCAAACATTTATTTTTATAATTTGAGTTTTGTCACCATGGATGAGATATGTATAAGTACACAATTTTTGAACTTTTAGAATGTAAAGGCATAATATTTCCTTCAGGGAGTAGAAATTCATGACATGTTATGTAGGCTTAAGTGACAGTTAAAAGAAAAGCACTTGTTTATGGAGCCTCAGTCAATTTTAGGTAAAGTAAGCTTAAAATAATTTAATTTGACTGAGCGTAGTGATACACACCTGTAATTCCAGCACTCAGGAGGCTGAGGCAGGAGGATCACTGGTAGTTCAAGGCCAGCCTGGGCTACATGGTGAGTTCAAGGGCAGCCTGAACAACATAGTGACTCTGTTTCAAAAAAAATATATATGTAATTCATAATTTTAGTTGGTAATTTTCTGTGTACCTAAAACGTGCATAAACATTGTAGTTTTGATGGTATGACTGGTTAAAAAGTTGCAAAACTGTGAACCTCTATGAGTTCAGTCTAATTCCCACATACGAATGTTTCCCCTGCACCAGGCCTCACATTAGGTGAGGAGAACACAAGGCGTGTGGGCAGGGCTGGGCCTCTGTGCTCATCTGCAGTCTTGCTGAGGGTGGTCTGGGCTCTGGGGACCGGCAGGGCCATGCAGACCTCCAGCATATGGAGTTTCAGGAAGGAGCTCAACTGGACCTGGGCGTAACAGTAGGGACTTCAGGGGAGCTTCCCAAAGGAAGTCCATGACCAGGCTGTCAGGGAAGGGGAACATGGTTGTAAGTGAAGCAGAGAAGGAAGGTGGAGGAGGGAGGAGAGAGTTCCAAGCAGGAGACAGAGCCGCTGCAGCCCATCACCTGCTCAGGGTGTTGAAAATGGGGTGCAGGGTGCGGTGCGGTGATGGCAAAGAGCAGGGGAGACTGAGTCCCACCACGGCTGCCCTGGGTGCTGGGACTCTGCTCCAGGAGCCAGAGGTTGTCACAGGAAGCCAGTCTGCGTGGTGGCCACTCGGGTACACTGGGTCAAGGGGGAGCCGTGTTCCCACTGCACCAGGAGGGACGGTCACTGTCGGGGGCTGTTGGGGGATTCGGGAGAGCCCCTGGGGGACGAGGTGGGCAGATGGGCTAGCGCGCAGGCCGGGGCTGTTGCAGTTTGAGTCTGTGTTATGGAGGGCCCCTTGGATGTGGCACGGCGCTGCTAAGTGTTGCTTGTGTGGTCTCTTGCTATAAACTGAGTTGCCTTAATGAAGATGAAAATGCCAACAGAAGCAGAGCAAAAACTGCCAAAACATTCTGTGAGTGACGGGGCACCAGTCGCAGGTGCCGCTTCTGGGCTGATTAGGCTGATTTATTTATTTATTCTTATTTTGGAGTGAAAACCTGGCAGAAACACTAGTTGCTTAAGGGACTCGGGGAGCAGCGTTTACAACACGTGGGAGCAGGAGATTTACTTGAGCTTGTTACTTACTTTGTTATTTCACAGTCATGGGAGACTGCACAATCTCAGGGCCTAGTCAGGAGGGTCGAACTCAGGATCGGGCAGAGGGGTGTATGTGAGGAGGTGGACAGGGGACCCATCATGGCATTGACCGTCGCCAGTTAAACTCCCACAGGTGAGGAGCCTCGGTGGGCTAAGGCTAAAATTCATTCACTTTCTGACCCCTCTACTTAGCTGGCAAGGCCACAGTTCTGGCCTGGTGGGGGTGCCAGGTCAGTTATCTGCCCTGCATTCGCTGGGTTTTCCTTGCTGCACCGTGATGGGACCGAGTCTTGGGCAGGAAGCCCTCGGAGGCAAAGCCTCGCTCCTAGGTCTCACCACACGTGCCCAAGTCAGAACAGCTGTGATGAGTGTGGCCTGCTCCCTGAGGCCCGTGGGCATGCTTAGGTGCTGGGCACACTGCCTCAGTTTCCTTTTCTCAGAGCAGTGACTCGGGCCTCTCATTCTTCATCCAGATATGTACCCTTTGGCTGCAGCGACCCAGGAGATGGAGAGCAGCCGGAAGCTGACTCACCTGCTGAACTCGGTGACAGACGCTCTGGTCTGGGTGATCGCTAAGAGCGGCATCTCCTCCCAGCAGCAGTCCATTCGCCTGGCCAATCTCCTGATGCTTCTGTCTCATGTCAGGCACATCAGGTACGGACCGGTGGCACTGCTGCACAGGGCGCAGGTGGTGTGTGTGGGCTCGGAGCTTTGGGAAGAAGGTTTGCAGGCTTGAGGTGGGTTTACCATGGTCGCCTTTATGGGGAAATGAACTCCTGAAAAGGAACGAGAGGCATCTGTTTGCACACCTAGAACCAAAGATTGGCACGCAGGGGACCTTGAATGAATGTCATGTGGGATTTCATAGGATTTTCATGGTGTCTTGGAGAAGCTCATCTGACTTTTGGTTGTTAGGACTTACAGTTGTTCATAGACTCCTCAGAAAGGCATTCTTCCCTGAAATGAAATGCCACCCCTCCACCACCCAGGGCTGAAGTCTTGCTGTGTTTTTGTGAACAGCTGAGTCTGGCTCTCCTAGGTGGCCCTCGGGCTGGCAATGTGGGGAAGTCCAGAAAGCCTTTCCTCAAGGTGGTTGTTTCTCCTTGTGACATCTGGCAAACAGGATAAGACCCCAGAATTCCCATCAGGATAGGAAGGCAAGGCTGTGGTTGAAGCTCATTCCAGGTCAGGAGACATCAGGCAATCGCTGGCACAGTGCCACCCAGGTGGGGAGACACATGCGGAGGGGAGGCAGTGATCCCCAGGAGCGATCAGGGGGGAAGCTGTGGAGGGAAGGTCAATACACACACTGAAAATTTTAACACAGGACAAAGTAATAACAATGCTGGTACCTGTTTTCTCCTTGAGGACCACACAGCCCGCAGTCCTCTGCAGAGCACACATAGCTGGTTCTTAGAAGGTTTTTGGAGTCCATACTTATGAGCTTACCTACTTAATAAAATGTATTTGTGCTTTTAAAACCAGTATCTGTGCACTTTTGAGGTCATGCCAGGAGTGACAGAAATCTTGAGTCACTCAATTTCCAGCTGAAGGTTGAACAAGGCAAGGCTTTGTCATCCTGGTTTGCTTCTCTGTGTCCTTTACACTATTTAGGGCCAGGTTTTCACATTTTGCTTTCTGTGAGTAATTTCATTGTTCAGAGAGTTCCCTAGAGTAGTGCTAAAAATACTCTCTAGTGTTGCTAAGGGCAAGAAATCTGAGAGGAGCTTTCAGAGAAGATCTGTGTTTTGGGTAAGTTTCTTTGAAGCCTAAGTTAATAGCACTGTTGGCTGTGAGATCATTGTTAATGAATCAACAATATGTATTAAATAAGATGATTTTGTCCAGAAACACACACAGGCGTATGCATTGATTGGATGATCTAAATCTTGATCGGTCTTATAGGCACCTGACTACTATGCTTCCCCTAGAAGCAATGATTCAGTATTTGCTAATTCAGCATTCGCAATGGCTTTATAGAAACTGACTTCCATGAGTAATGAGAAATTATCGTGCTATGTACCAGGCCATTGTGGGTGGGCATTAGGACACAGAAGTCCAGATGACATCAGCTTTGCCCTGGAATAGAAATGATTGGGTACTGGATGCATGTGCTGTAGGAAATGGGCTGGGGAAGTGGGGGTGGGGGTGGACTGGCTCTGTTCTGGAGAACGGGGAAGGATTTCAGCATTCCTGTGGCTACCTCAGGGAGAGAATCTCAGCACCTTTTTGTCCCCATAGTAACAAGGGCATGGAACACCTGCTCAGCATGAAGTGCAAAAATGTGGTCCCAGTGTACGATCTGCTGTTGGAGATGCTGAACGCTCACACGCTTCGTGGGTACAAGTCCCCGGTCCCTGGGTCCGAGTGCAGTTCGGAAGAGGACAGCAAGAACAAGGAGGGCTCACAGAATTCGCAGTCTCAGTGATGCCCAGCCCTGAGGTAAACGGGCCCACAGAGGAGGTCAAAGCAGAGGTGTGGATGCCAGCGGGTCCTGAGCCTGGTCTCGTCTCTGCACTGAGCGCCCCTCCTCGGCTTTTGGCAGCCCGGTCATGCACCATCACTCCCCCCTCTCCCTTTCCCACGAGTCAGGGTGACAGCGTGTAGTTTTCCTTGTGCGAGGGAGGGGTACTTTGGAATGCAGAATTCCATCTTGCAGGGGTTTAGGGGATATCAGTGTGGTTCCTGCCTCACTTCCTTCCCTGTTCTGCCCCTTTAGAAAACACCTTACAGGTTTCAGAATGAATGGTGGAAATCTGATTGGAAATGTTGCAAGCTAGAGGGGAGAGAGATGCCAGTCTATAGGAGTCTAATCCCTACTGGGCAACCTTCGCTTCACTGGGAACTGACCTTCATGTGCTCTCCTCTGCGTCATGGGAAACTCATGATGACAACCCATTAACTAATGTCACATGCCCACCTCACAGGTCTGTGAGGACTGATATCGTGTTACAGGATTTTGTCAAAGACTAGAGGGATGGGGTCAAGGTGGGATGTGAGCCACGTTCTTAGACCTTGTCACTGTCTTTATGCCCCCTTATGCCTCCTGATTTGCATTCACAGAGCTTGCTAATTCTTTGGGGCATGTGTCCGTGCGATGTGTGTGATCACTTTCATGAAGAGCTGTGGGAAGTATAAATCTCTGTCCTCCTGGAGTGGGACCTTCTCGAAACCCTAATGCCCTGAGCCCTAGAATGTGTGCTACAGAAAGGCCTTGGGTTTGCAGGGAAGGTTCTGTCTGGTGTGGGCCACAGTCAGGGTGTCCCTCTGGGGTCTTGTGAATACACTTTCCAGTCTGCATAGCAGAGGTAACCGCCATAGCTGCCACATCCACCATGTCCATCACCCAGGGGAGACCAGGGCATCTCGGGCTGTGGATGTGCATGGTGTGTTCTGTGGAGAAATGGTACAAGCGTGCAGCCCACACATCACTGCAAGGCCACCCCATTAGACGTGAGCATGAAGACATGGTTTGTGAACTCTCCCCCCAAAAGAGTGTCAGGGGTAATTATTTATAGCTAACATGAATTTTTTTAAACCCCAGGGAGTTCTTAAAATATTTTCTTATCAGAACATTTATATGGTGTGCTGAGTGAAACAAAAACAGTAAAAACTTCTTCATCTGAGTGGAACATAAATAGGAAACAAAGAGAACAAAAATACCATGAAATGATAATTTTTACGAAGCTGAAATTTTTAGACAAAGCTTTTGGGAACAAAAATGCATAACATGTTTAACAGTGGTACTCTGGGAGTGAGCAATTAAAATATCACATTGATCTTTGTGCTAATGCTTTCAAAAATTACCATGTAATACAATATGAAGTATTTTCTTTTTGAAAGTAAGTTTATTTTGGCTAAAACATTCTGTATTTATGAAGTCAATGGGAAGATTGAAGGTAGTTTTAAGGGTTAGTTCCTGCTCGACAGAACTTGAATAATTCTTGATTTGGATATTGGTGCAATTTGACTACAAGTCAAGGCTCAGCCTTTGCATAAACCCTCGGACATAGAGCTAGAGGACTCTGGCATGGAGGAAGTTTGAAATTGTTCTGAGTGACTTAGTTACAGCCTCAGACAGACTCAGTACAGAAAATGGAAGCGTGATTAACAGGAAGTAGGGAACTGGTATTATCCAGGTTAGTTTCTTTCTGGCCAGCTAAGCATTTCCCACTACTAACAACACTAAGACGACAGCCTCAAAGTTCTGTTAATCCTATCTTTACAAGGGACCACCAATAAGGAAAAGAACCAGACAATAAATCATCAACCCACAGTCCCAGCCATTGCTTAGTTAGTTCTAGTGTAATAAATTTTTTTAGGGCCTCCCTGCCCCCTCATACTGGGGACTGAACCTGGGGCCTTACACATGCTAGGCAAATGTTCTACCACTCAACTACATCTTCAGTCATTGCTACTGCCTTCTTAAAATTGTGAAACCGGGTCTTGCTAAATTGCCCAGGCTGGATTTGAACTTGAGATCCTCCTGCCTGTCACCTGAGTAGCAGAGATGACAGACATGCACCACCATGTCTTGCCTAGGTTGCCCCCCAGCCCCATTGCTCTTTTGATACCTAAGGAGGGTGCCACATGGGACACAGGCAACCAACCACCTTTGTTGCAAGTCCTGCACCATCCAGATGAGTGTGCATTCTATCCCTGGGAAACGCACCCACTGGCCATTACAGTAATTACCCACACATTCTCCTGCCTGTGTCTGGGCCCTTGGTTTCACTGCATCTGGATTTAGCCAAGCAGGGGAAGTGACGCTTTCCGTCATGAGGGCCTGCTGTGCGCAGCCTGTTTTAGGCTGGTGTTGGAGCAGCGGGGGTTGAACATAGCTCTGTTGTTGTTTACAACAAACAAATGTTTGTTGTTTTGAGTATCCTAGGCCTTTCTCCCTTCAGATGAAGGGTTTTGAATGATCTGATTCCCTCTGCTCCAAATATGTCCTGTAAGGATAACCCTTTTATGTCAAGGTGCTGTATTTGTGTTGGGGAACATCCTCCAGGTCTGTTTTAAAGGCCACTCTCTCTTTAATTCATAGTGTCTACTTCTAAGTACTCCTTTATGGATATATCCACTCCTCCCAGAGTGTGTGTTCCTTCAGGGCGAGAGTTCTCCTGTAGCTAAGCAGGATCTCACTTTTTCCAAGTCCAGATTTTAAAAGGAATTAAATTAGTAAACCATGAACAGGACACAGATTTTTGAATCAAAGACCAAACTCTCTTTGCTGTGTCATGGAATAGTGATGTTCAGCCTTGCCTTAGACTGGTGCGGCCAGGGTTCCAGACTTGATTTGGCCTAAACTCCAAAAACATGAGTGATGAATACAGGGTTATACAGACAGATTTTAATGAAACAATTCTCCTGCGTACCATTAACACAGAACGTTCCCTCAGATTCTTGGGAGCAACTGGCAGTCCTGGGAGGGGCGCCTGCGGGACGTCCACATGCATTTTGTTCTAACGAACCTTCCTGTGTTCTCTCTGCCTGTGCCTGTCCCCAGGCTTGTCACATATCAGGCTTAACTACAAAGGGTTAAACCAAAATAACCCCCTGAAAAGATTTTTCTTAAAACATTGAGGTGGGAACATAAGACAGCGGTCAGCCAAACAGCAAATCTGAGGAGCCTTAACTATATTAAACACAGAACAGCGCAGAATCAACCAGGGCTTTTGCAGTTTGACTATCTTTATCTGGATTACTTCACCTGCTAACTCAGCAGCAAGGCCAATTATTTTAGAAAAAAATCAGTTACCAATTCCCAGCAGAGCCATGGTGATATATAATGTATTTATATATATACGGGGACACATTTAAGTTGAAGCAATCCTAGATTTTTCTAGCATGTGAAAATAAGGTTGGTTTCTCTTTACATCTGCAAAGGGGATCACATTGTTGACACTTTTTCCATTTCTTTCTTTCTTTTTTCTGTACTGGGAATCAAACTCAGGACCTTGTGCTCCCCAAGCAGGCGCTTATGCCACTGAGTTATATCCCTAGGTCCAACATCTTTCCAAATTTAAGGTTTTGAGTTATATTTTGAACAAAATATTTTTTATTTACTAAAGTTTGATTTTTTTGCTTTTTGCTGGTCATCAGGGTCTTCACACTGTGCTACCTTCTGAGCACTTTTTACATCCCGAGACAGCAGTTTACTAAATCAGAAGGTGCTTAGCTTGGCAGTTCTGCCTCAGCCTCCCAGAGTGCTGAGATTACACCACCATAGATACAGACAGCTCTTTAAACTGCTAAAACTTTAAAAAACACAATAAAGGTTTATGTAAAGAAAAAAAAAGTAACAATAAGAAAATAACATTATTTGTGAGCTGTGTGCTGGAGTTCTCACTGCCGCACACTTGGACATTTATCCCTCGTCAGTGTTACCTTTCAGGCTCATGGTCACAAGAAACAGGTGATAGAGCTAACCACAGGAAGCCCAGGTCCACTGCACAAAGTGGTCATACAGTTCAGGTAGTTAAATATTCAAGACCGGGGGACGTGGCCCACTGGTAGAACTCTTACCTAGCATGTGAGAGACAAGACCCTGGCTTCTATTGCTAGCACTGCAGAAATGGAATTTTAATTAAAAGAATTGTTTTTATTTCTGCCACTGGCCTGCATTCTTCAGCCTAAAAAAAATACTTTAAAATTGCAACTGCCTATCATACCCCAAACTCCCAGTTTGCATAACACTCCTGTAGACACAAAGCATGTGAACTCCTGATATAGAAGTTCCTTCCATCTATTGTATGTATGTAAATTAAACTCCTTGGGCAAACTGACCTGCTTGGGGTCATAAAACTACGTATAGCCAAGGGCAGACAATTCAGTTCTTTCTGCCTGGACAGTGCGACTCCTGGTGCAGGACTGTGTTGCTTGGCCTGTGTGATGGTACAGTGGATTGCTCACGGTTGCCTTCTGCAGTACCTTTAGACCCTAACTTCTCAGCTTAGACAGGGGTGCATGAACCTTCACAGAACAGCAGTGACAGACAGGAAGTGAGGTGAGTTATATTCCGGTCTCCCAGCCAGGGGTTCTGCCATTATCTGCTACTTCTGTGCTATATTGCTGTTCCCAAAACCTCGGGAGCCAAGTACGTGCCTAGGGAACTTACCCAGGTGAATTTCTCACACCCCTAACGCATCGCTGCTTCCCTGTGTGGTCTGGCACACTGAGGCATGAAAACATGCATTTGTCTTTCGTGGCTCTCAAACTCACCGACACTGGCACCAGTGGCAGATCCACAAGGTGCACTTGTCTCTGTGCTATCTGATCTTATTCCCATTTTTGTTGAAGTTGACTTTTTTTTTTTTTTAAGCCCAAGGATCCTATTCACTCTGTAGGGCAGCCTCTGTTACTCAATAATAGCTTTCCTCTATGTGAAGGGCAGGAGTTTGATGCAACTCTGGAAGTTTCTGGTAACTCTAGCATTGATGTTACATTTTTTCTGTGTCGGTGTCTAAATGCCATGAATACTGGCCCTAGAACTATCATTTGGTGGTCCTGGGAACTTCAGAGCCTGCTGTTAGACATTTTTATTTTTCCCAGGTGGATGCTTTGTACCATTAGAATAATTTGACTGCCATTCATAGGTTTTTAAATGTTGGCCTTTTAACAAATGTATGAAAGCAGGTTTTGAGGCTTGTTCTCCATTTCCCTGGGTACTACTGTTCTTACTGTCTCTTTAATGTGTATGGAACCAACTGTTGCAGAAAGAAGTTTAATGTGACATAAATAAACTGTTTTTCATAATTATGGTTTTAAAAATGTATTTGTTGGAAGTCGAGTATGAGAGTTTACAGTAATTAGGATAAAGGGTGTCTGTAGTCTGTGAACTCTATTCTACTATTCTATTCTACTCTTTATAGAGCCCTTTGGGAACTTGATGATAAATTCCCAGGAAAAGGCACCTAACACAAATGCTTGCATACCATCAAGAGTTAACCTGCCTTCAGCTCAGGCTTCCTAAGGCGGAACAATTTAATCATTAGTCTATAATCCCTTGTGACTTATGACTGCAGGCGCTGTGTGACTGAGTAAATGCACTCCATAAATGTACAAGTCCCGGTGTGCTCTGCACCAATCAGTGGGGTAGACTTTTTGTGATTGCCTCATCTGAGTCAATTAATATTATACCATCAGAGATGGGGAGAAAGTAATTCATTCATATGGAAGTTATCTTTGTGCCAATGTTCACTTGAACACTTCCCTTGCAAGTGGGAAAGAAAAGATGTATTTGTGACAATGCAAAACAAAGATTATCTGACATTAAAGTTTTGGGGACACACAGGCTTGAGGGTTGGATTGCAGCAGCAGGAGTCCCTGGGACTGGGGGCTAAATGCAACACATCTCTTTTATCTTGGAGGCACCTAACCCTGATACACCTTGATTGTCCTGGGTCAGTGCGGCCCTCAGAGAGTTCACCTCCTTTGGGGTGGATGACAGGGGACAGAGAGGACAGGAGACTGCTATTTGCTTCAGGCTATACTGGATGGGGACCTTCTAAGCAACTCGGAGGTTAAAGGGGAAAGGTGACATTTTCACTGTGCATACTTTTCTCTGGGATGACTATAATTCATTTGGACAAGTTAGACATACTTTAAGGACTGGTGATTTAGCTTAGCAGTGCAAACGTTTGCCTGGCAAGTGCCACATAGTGAGTTTGATCCTGGGTACCAAAAACACCCCAAGGTACTTTGAAACCTACCTTTTTCTCCATATCCATTAAACAATTTGATGACATAAAACACTGAAGGAAAAATGAAGACAGATTCTCTTCCCATGGTCCCTTGGCTGTGGAGCCGCTGGCTAGCCTCACGGGCCGTAGCTGCATGGATAGTGTGGCTGTCCACAGCAAGGAAGCCCTGTTGGAAAGTCCAGGCTTCAGATCCCACTGGGCTTCACTGGCTGCCTGAGGAAGGTGCTCTGCAGGGGAGGGGACCAGACTGGGTTCATCAGTGGCACCCCCAAGTGTTAGAGGCACAGTTCAGATTGGGTCAGTAACCTCCAAAACCAGGGAGGTGGAACGCTAGGGTTTACCTTCTTTGCTTAGCACGAGGTTGATTTCTGTGGAAAGTCAGCAGCTTTGCCTGTAACATCTGTTAAGACACGTGACTGTCTGTCCCAGGCTGAACACCGTCATCCAAAAAGCTCTAAAATCTAAAACCACCCTCTCCTTCCACAGGGCACTGGCCTACACCCAGAGCCTCCTTCACCCAGGCCAGGCAAACGCTCCACGCTGGGCTACATTCCCAGCCCCAAATCCAAGACTTTGAGGACACGACACTACAACTGGAGCAATCTACACTCTGAAACCTTTCATATACAAAATTACTTTAAAAATCGCACAGTTCAGGCTGTGTGTAAAGTATATATGAGACACAGATGAATTCTTGAATTGACCTGGGTCCCATCTCCTACATCTCATTTTATGTATGCAGCTGCTCCCAAAACCCAGAAATGCTCCCGTCTAAAACACTTCTAGTCCAAAGCATTTTGGAGAAGGGACTCTCAATAGTACATTCCAGGAGGGGCAGGGACTGGGGGGACCCAGGCGGGGCTGTTTGTGCACATCCACCTTCATGGAGTGCTGTCCTTGTCCTCTCTGCTGCCGTGGACGGTCACAGGCGAAATCCTGCACACACAAGGAAGGGTCTCCTATCTCGGGACAGGTTGAGGTTTCCAGATCTCATTCTGTCGAAGAGTAAAGAGCTCCCCCACCTAAAGCTAGACAGTGATTTGTTCCTTGGAAATTTGAGCGTGCTACTGACCCACTTTGCAATTATAATCCAGGGCAATGCTTTGGTTCATTTTGTGTTTTATTGAGAAACAGCTTGAGTTATACATACCACAAACAGCTTCAAGTTTTTGTATCAACCCCTTCCCCCTGTGGCCAAACAGTTCAACCACACCAGAAGTGTCTCTTTGAAGTCTTATAAAATTAACTTATAAAAACATCCCTATCAAGTCTGTAGTTTGGCATTTACTGTACAGTAGTGAAAAGCTTGAGCTAAAAATCAATTTTTTTAAAAAAATCAAAGTTTACATTATTTATACAGATTCAGCATTGTTAAAAAATATGCACAGGTAACCACATCCATGCAATAAAGTTTTTAAAAAAATTTAGAGCACTATAAAAGAGCAAGCCTGGGTACTGAACGGAACATTTTGGCTTAGAACCAATAGCTCCAACTTGCTAGCTGATTGGACGAAAACTGCTGCTATTCATTTAAAATGATTGTTTTTGGCCCATCAGAGCTCAGGGTGTATCTGAGTCTCTGAACCACCTGAGACAGACTCTGTATCTCTAATATACACAACGGGATGAGTGCCACTGCTCCTGGGCCATATTAACTACATTAAAATAATGCTGTGAATCCTGACTCATTTGTGCTTGGCTCTTTGGGAAACTGCCCTTTCCAGAGTCTGCTCAACCAGTCAACTAGCTTTGCCAGAATGCCCAGGGCAGCTGCTGCCAGGTTCCCTGGCCTGGGCAATCCCAGAGGGAGGCGCCTGCAACAGGTCCCGGCCTTGCCAACATGAGTCTCTGACAGATTGATCATGTACCTCTAGCTGGGCCCCTGTGGCAGACAGGCTGTTGGTGTGGTGCTGGGCCCCTGCGGAGCCCACTAGGTGGGGGGCGGCCCTGCGGAGCCCACTAGGTGGGGGGCGGCCCGTTGGTGTAGCTCAGCATGGGGTAAAAGGAGCGGGCGAAGTTGTTGGCCTGGGTACAGCTGTAGTCCTCTTCGGAGGCAGGCAACAGGCAGGCCAGAAGCAGCAGCAGCAACAGGAGCAGCTGCAGGGGGAGCGCCGCCCGGATCACGCGTGACAGGAAGGAGCGCCGAGGCTTTGTGCTGCTGGGGCCAGCGGGACCAGACACCCTGCCAGAGAAGAGGCGGACAGCTCGTTAGGAGTCCAGCACTGCACCTGCTCATGCCTGCGGCGAGGAAGAGAGCCTGGCTGCGAGACCCAAAGCGGGGGCAAGGGCTGGGGCTGAGTTCTGGAGAAGCCCAGCCTTTCCAGATGGAAGCAAATAGTTTTACATGGACTAGGTGGTGACTCTGGTAAGCTGGTGCAGTGAGGGTGGCCCCCAGGGTCACTGTTGGGTCTATACTGCCATTACCTGCCGTCACTGTTGTCCTCGTCCTCCGTGATCCCCTCTGCGAGGAACTGCTGGAACAAAGAAGCCAGTGAGTAACAACCCAGGTGATGACCAGATCCTTCCCGGGGCTGTCTTCTCCAACACTTGTGGGACTAACGCAATAATCCCAGATTCAGTTCATTTGGGTTAAATGATCCCAAGTTTAAACTATCGAGAGTTCCATGTTCCAGTCTGTTGTGATTTAATGGAGAAATCAGGAAACTCATGTTTTTATAACCTGCTGTTATCCCAGAGAAGAGTGATGAGAAGAGGGCTTTCGAGCCAGGTCTTTCAACGGAAATTTTAACATCCTCAGTCCCCTTTCAACAGTGGGCTGAAGCAGACCTATGCTGGGGGACCCCTAAAGGGGCCCTGGAATCTGCTTCTGTCACCCCACGAACTTAAAAATAACCAGCATGGTTCTCTTGGAAGAAGGGGCTCTCACCTTGGCTTGGGGAGCTGGCGCAGATGCTGCAGGAGGCTGGTCCCCAGAGTCCACTTCATCAAAGTCAGGCAGAGCTGGGTCTGGGTTCTGAAAGCCACACCCCAAGAGTTGGCAGGAGCGGAAGGTTCCGACTAGTCTCGAGAGCACAGAACTGTGCTCCATGCAGCCTTTGAGGAGCAACTTAAACCACCTCTTCTTAAAGATGAGGCTGGCAAGTAACCAAGGTAGGGCCAACCGCTCGTATTGAACATAATTCCGGAGGATGGTGCCCTCCCCACATGTCACTGATAGGATCCTGTAGCCATAACATTGCCCAGACAGGGTGAATGGAAGAGCACAGGGACTCTGGGACCTGCCCCATGCCTGGGGAGGTGGATGACATTTTAAAGTCGACAATGAAGAGGACTTGAAGCCATGCTACCATGAGAGAGTAAAAGCTTGAGTCCGTATGACATAGAGGTACAGCAAAAATGATGGGAGGGATTTGTTTTTCTTTTCATTCTTGGGGCTTGTACTCAGTTCTGCTGCACTAAGCTACCTCCTCAAACCTTTTTAAATTTGGAGATGGCAGTTAAGGAGACCCCCAGTTGCCCTGTCTGAGCTCGAACTAGCAACCTTTCTGCCGCAGCCTCCAGAGGACCGTAGCAGTGAGCCACCACGCTGAGCCATCTACTTGTTTTGACAATGTCAGCCACACAGACAGGCGGTACCATACCACTGTTACCTCTCCTCTCCAGCTAACAGAACGCACCTGAGAGCTTCCGCAGGGCTCCAGGAGGGGGCAGTGACCTCCTGCTCCCGTGCTCATGGCCTCCCTGCCTTCCAGTGTGCATCTACTTTGACACCTTGACACATTAAGGCTCCATGTGGACTCACCTGGCTTCTCTGCAAGGACAGCAGATCCCGGGCTACTTGCTCACGTAACTGCTGGAGTTTCTTCTTGATAACGTGGACCTTCTCTTCAGCCTCAATGTAGTCTTCTCCGTTCCCCTTCACAAGAAGGCTGGTGGAAAGCTCGTGTAAGGAGTTTACATGGGGTTGGCATTCTGCGAGCTCCTTCTCCAGTTGCTGAAAGTGGGAACATGTGTGAAACAGTTGGCCAGAGAAGGTGTTTTTGGTTTCAGGATGAAAGATGGATGCTGCTCAATTCCAGAACCTACTACCTACCTCTCTTGGCTGCCTGTGGCCTCAGCCTAGCACTGTTTAGAAAGCAAACTGGTTGGTCCCCCCCCCTTTTTTTTTTTTACTGTATTCCCTTTCACTCTGAAATAATTATGATATTGGACAAAATACAGGAAAAGAAGTGAATGGGTTTGTGGGAAGACTGGACCTTTGTCCACCAGAGCGGGAAGTGAAGGGAAATTAAAGGTGACAGAGAAGGACCAGTGTCAGCATGCTGTTCAGAGACAGGAAGGGATGGGCTCCATGCATCATCCTGCATCGTTAAGGGCAAAAGTCAAAATTAAAATCTGGTTTCAGTCACAAGAGCCACGTTGCGTGTTTAAAAGCACCTGAGGTTAGTGGTCACCCCACTGGACAGTGCAGAGAACATTTCTCTCACTGCTGCTCTAGAATGGAGCATTATAATAATTTTAGAGCTAAACAAAAGAATTTTAAAACATTGGCTAGTATTAAAATATTAAAAATTAAACCACACGCAGCTCTCATCCTGATTATAGAGTAAAACAATGCCCTGTTCTCCCCACCACAGGAACAGCAGGGGTGGCCCCTCTGTACCCAGTCCTACATGTGACTCAACCAATCAAGGATCAAACCTGTTTACAAGCAGCAGCAGCTGGACTCAACGTGCCTTTCTTCCTTGTCATTACTCCCTAGATAACACAGCAACCATTACCTAGCTTTTACATTACAACAGGCATTATCAGCAGTTCAGATGGTTTTAAAGTATGCAGCAGGACATCTTGGTTATATGGGAATAATACATGCATTCTGATTGAGGGATCTGAGCATCGAAAATTTGTGGTGGTGGTGGTGGTGGGTGAGTTTGGGAACCAGGCTTCTGCAGGTGCCAAAGGAGCAACTGTATTCACAAGGGAAAATTCCTTCTATTTCAGAAGCCTTAAGTTTCTCAGGATACTGTCAACAGCCTCGCCCAAATTCCTGACAGTCAGACTTCCTGCTCTGGCTTTTCATCCCTGCAAGTCATTCTGTTGCAGGGCCACAGGTGGCTGCCGTGCGGATATGCACAGCAACCAGAGGGCTGAACTCAGGTCACACATGGCACACTGGGCAGTCGGCTGAGGGTCGGATGCTCTGCAGCAGGCAGTGGTTGTGCAGAGGCCCCAAGGAAGAAACTTACCATGAGTTGTTTCTGGCAGCGCAGGAGATCCTGGTGGTCAGCCTTTGGGTCGGTGACGAGAGCCTTCTGCCTCTGTTCCTCAGCACTGGCTAGCCACAGCAGCAGGCTCTGGCTCCGCTGGTGGAAGTCCTTAAACACAACATGCATTGGGGTACTGCCTGGGCGGAGCACGGAGAGGCCGTGCCCTAAGGCAGCCTGCTGCTGCCAGGCTTCCCCGGCACTCACTCTGTCTAACCAAGGGAAGAAAGGGCTCAGACCACAGGGAGAGGGGGAGAGCAGGGAAGGACAGGGAGCGTACTTGGCAGACCTGGAGGCATCGGGCAGAGAGTGCTAACAGAAAGGAGGGGCTGCAGGCTGACCCTAACTTTCACATAATACTCCACAGGTGCTGGACTCAGTGGCTAAGGGTGCACCCAAATGGACAGGCTGGGTAGGCCCATGTTCCTTAAGATGGAGTCAGAACCGGTAGGTGCCAAGCACTTATGTATCACACATATCACCACCTCATGTAGGTGACACTAATATAACTTCTGTTTTCAGATGTGAACACTGAGGCCCAGAAGGTTCTGCCCAAAGTCCCACAACTACGATACCATAGAGCCAAGTTAAACTGCTTCTCCATTCTAGGGCCGAGTCTCTCAGTTACTCTAGCAAGTGGGCAGAGACAGGGCAGTGTTGGGGTGGCATCTCCAACCCACATGAGCCTGGGCAGCCGAGGAGGAGACCCAGAGCAAGCACTGGGTCACTGAGATGAGGGGAGCACAGGGCTGTGCATGGTAAAAATAGCTGGTGATGGTAAAAATAGCTGCTGCTCCCACCGCGGGGCCTGGCTGCTGCTGGGGCTAGGCCTGGGCGAGCCAGCATACCTGGCACTGCAGGAGCGACTGCCGCAATGTCTCCCTCCAGCTGTCCATCTTGCCCTGGGCCGTCTCCCAGTGCAGGTTCAGCTGGCACAGTCTATGGTGCAGCTCTGAGGCCTCAGCGCTCTCGCTCGGCAGAGATTCCTTGGCACTCACGTTGACAGAGACCATTAAAGTCTTGTAGGTGTCAAAAGCTTTTACTATCTCCTACCACGGAGGAAAAGCATCGGGTTAGGAGCCCTGGAAACCATGCGGAGGAGCTCACTTTGAACCTTGGGAGGGAATGATCTCCCACACACTTCTCCAGGCTTTGGCCACAAACTGAAAGTGACCTTGCCTGTGACTGGCTGGGCAGCATCAGGTGAGGGTGCTGCCTTACATGGTCAGTGGACTGCACTGGCCAGCTGGCTGGCCAGGGAGGCCTGAGGACAGAGGCCTGCCTCCCAGGTGCCCCACTTGACCAGACGCTCGAGAGACCTGCTCATATCCACAGCCTGGCTCTGCAGTTGGCTCACTAACATTTCTGGACCCGGAAGTCTAGGTAGCTATTCCGCATCCACCCCTCGACATCCCAGTAATGATACTCCTTGGAAAACATGGTAACTCCTGCTACATTAACGCACAAAGTAAGATGAAAGTACAAAGGTAAAGAGTGGCTGGACACCCTAAGACCCTGCCCCGAGGTCCCAGGAGCTTCAAAACTGCCCCACCCCTACGTGAGGGACAGTAATGTGAGGGACTGGTAATGTGAGGGAGGAATCCTAACTGTGTAGTAAGGAACATGACCAGGTCACAGGGCACATCTGCAGGCACACTAGTGTTGCTTGGAACTGTGGTGTGCGGTCTGGAGGGCAGGCTTAAACTGCCCAGCTGGGGGGCAGGGCATTTAGCTCAGCAGCATAAGCACCTGCCTCGAAAGCAGGCAGTCGTGAGTTTGATCACCGGTACCGATAAAAAAGAAAAAGAGAAAAAAAAAAAAATACTGCCCAGCTGGCCTCCAGCACCTCTGTCACTGTCTAAAGATGCCTCGGAAGTCAGCTTTTCCCAGCCCCATGTAAAAAGCCTGCTTCCTCAGGCCACGCTGGGATCACCTGTCAGCACTCTCCCATGTGAGAACACTAACCTGCCCCTGCGCTCCTGCCAGTCCCAGAAGTGATGTGGGAGAGACCGATCTTGACCACGCCCCCCGAGACCACCACCCACGCTACAAGCAATGCACCCTCTAAACACCCCCTTCCCACTACCTGTAGTCTCTTCACTCTGAGTTCCAGCTCCTGGATATCAGAGGGAGGCTTTGCCATCTTCAAAGCTTCCAGCTCTGCTTCAGTTTTTTCTAGCCAAGCAGTGATGTCGCTGATAACCGAGTTCAGCTGTTGCATATTTTGTTTTATTCTGTGCTTACTGTGAAGCTCTTGGGCTTGTATCAGCTCCCACGTGTCAAAGGCACCTGGAATCAAAAGCTGCCAATTGAAACAATGCTGGAAAAAGATTTCTCTCCTCAGCTATGGGGGGTCAGGGTGGCACATGTGTAGGGGCGCTCCTGGCAGGAGGATCTGAGCTCAGGAGCTCTCTGTCTCCCTGCCCTAGCCGGCTCCACTCTAGGAGGCAGGGGGAAGTGAGGAGAGCAGGGAGGCAGCCACTCGGCCAACACTAGTCCAGTCTCAGGTCCAGGACACGGTCACACTGTGATGAGGGCATCTTTCCCCTTTGGTCAGTAAATGATCAGCACAATGCTATGGGAGTTAGCCTATCTGGGTAATTACTCTGAGATTATTGGGCAGGTTTGATGAGGAGAGCCTGAGACAATGCTCTGATAGGACCTTCATATCTGATTGTTTACATACACAATATCAAGTCATTAAAAACATGCACTTTATCATATGAGTAAGCTTCCTTTTGTCAGTTTCAAGAATGGTTTCCGAATTTAAAGGAAAAACCCAGAGATTCACTTAGAAATGCAAGGCAGCTGACTTGAAAACCACACCGGCTGCTGTAGGCCAGTGATGGCAGACCTCCTAGACACCACCGCCCAAACCACAGTCCCAAGCCACTTATCGCAGAGTGCCAACCTGGCACTTAAACCTGGATAGTGAAGTTTCAGTTTAGGGAAAAAAAATAAAACAAAAAATAAAGAAAAACGAAAAACAAACCAAAAGAACCTCATACATTAACATCTTTTGTTTTAAAAGCAACACGTGTGTCATAGTTCACCGCCTCTGCTGTCGGGCAAGTTCAGTAGTTTTGGCCAGTTATATACTGCAGTTGGTAGATTCCTAAATGATGTTCTGAGGAGCAGTGATCTACGGTAGATGCAGAAAGTGGCTCCAACACCGCATGCCCCCTTCCCGGGGCTGCCCGCTGGGCAGTACCTGACTGCTGCCCTGCCGCGCTGGCCAGCTGCTGCTCTTCTTCTTGCTGGTGGCTGCCATTCAAGACTCTTGCGCCTTCTTTGCCACCATGAATTCTGGGCTGTAACAGTTTTACCTAGAAAGAGCCAGTGTTAAAGTTATTGTCTGTAAAATTTTAGGGTTTAACAGGCAAGAAATGAGGCTCTGTGGTACTTTCCTTAAAGCAGAAGTCAGAAAACCTCAGCAGCAGCTCAGGGAATCAGACAGCATGCCGAAGGGAGTAAGATGGGCTGTTTTAATTTGCAGGCTTCCTGACAGCCCCCAAACAAAAGCAGCAGAAGCAGTCACTGTGGGTGGCTGCCATTGCCTCTACTGTGTTAAGCACTTGTGCGTTCTCAGCTCACCTCCCCGGGGCCCAGCATTTTATCACTGAGAATCAGATGCACAGAGGACAAACTGCATTCGAGGGTCACTTCTTCCAAGTGTTTATCCTTCACTGCCCATTCTGGCTCTCGCATTATCACAGAACTGATTGGGCTATTATCTCACAGCTTTCCAAAAATAAGTATATTTCTTTTAGAAAAGCTATGCTTTGGTTAGATTGTGTTCATGTGGCCTATTTGTGTGGAATGGACAAAATAAAAAATCCTTCAGATTGGTGGTGACACACCCGGCTTCAGACACAATAAAAGGGCTGACGAGGGGGATACAAGAGTAATATCTGAAAGAAGCTACAGGTGGGGTGGGGAAAGCATGGGTCAGAGGCTGAGGTCTCTCTCCTCTGGTCCAGTTCTGCACCACAGAGGGGCAGACAGAGTGACAGCTCTGAATTGGGCATGGCTGATCCAGTACTAAATGACTCAGATTTGACAACACAGATGCACACCGTCTGCAATCATGTAGCAAGAGATAAGTGACTTCTAAGACATAGATGGCACTTGGACCACATCCACTGATGCTTTCTATAAAAAAGATGGCATCGAAACACAAAAGGTTGTTTTAATTTCAACTCTCTCATTAATTCTCGCTACTGAGAATCATCTCTGGCCAACATTAAACCCCAGGCTGGGCCAGAGATGGTTCTAGCTGTGGCCAGAGCTCGTGTATCAGTGGTCAGAACCAAGAGCTTGTGTAACTAAGAAAGAGCAGCCCAATATTGCAGCAGTAATAAGAATGACTGAGGGCCTTCTTTACTTTGCACGTAAATCCTAACGCCACCTCTGTAAGGCAGCTTTACCCTCCGGTGAGAAAGGCAGAGTGTAGGCCCCCCAGTAACAAGCTGGTAGGGCTGGAACTCAAACCCGTATCCATCACAACACAGCATTAGATCTGAATCAGGAAGCCCTGATTTTTTGACTAGGATGTTTAGCCACAAAGAAAATATAACACAAGTTTGGGAACTCGGGAGCAGTTTCGGAGAGGCCAGCCTTTCACTTCTTTACTATTTACATGGACACCAGACTCAAAATTAGTAACTACTGCTGTATTAATGTCCCCCAAGGTGGTTTTTAGCCACAAACCAACTCTGGTCAGTTTGCCAGCATTCCAAGAGGCTTCCTTGGTTTCTTTTGTGGTGGTGCTGGGATTAGAACTCAGGGCCCTGTGTATGCTAGTGAGTGCTCTACCACTGGGCTACACCCTCAGCCCCTCAACAGAGATTCTGTCACCATGAAAAACCCCACTCCGAAGGTGCTGGAGATAGGCAATGCAGTTGGCACCAAAATCTTTTACAAATTTTACCTCTGCCACTAGGGTTATGTTCTCGGGGTGTTCCAGAGCATCACTTACATAGGGCTGCTTATATGGGGTGCTGGCATCTGAGGGAATGGGTGGCTCACTCCTATCCTCCTCCATTTGTTTGTAGCGATGCTTGGCAGGGGAAGGGCTGTCAGGAACATGCCATGAGTGGCTATCAGAAATGGATTTACCTGAAACAAAAAAGAGCAAGCGATGGTCTCTTCTCCAACCGAAGGGCTTGTGTTTAGTGACACAAGAAAAGTCATGGGTCACATGGCTTCAGGTTATAGTTCCTCAGCTTTCCTTGCAAAGCATGCATGTTTGCAAAGTGTCAGTATGTCTCGGAGGCGGATGAGATGAGGCATGCAACCGGGCGACATCGTGCCTGCACTGGATGGGGTCATGGTGGAGCACAACAGACACATGGTTCACTGTGGAATGAGTGGCCTTTGGATGGAGCTGGTGTCTCGGGGGACACTGGGTGGCGAGGCCCAGTTTGGGGGGGCCAAGAGGACAGGAAGCCTCTGTGGAGCGAGGGAAAGTGTGACTGGCAAGGATAGATTCGGGCATGAAGGGCCACAATGGCTCCCCCCACCCTGCAGGTGCGGGTGGAGAGTGGAAATACTTGTACTGCAAATAAGGAAAGCGAGGTGTCTGCCCCTGAGGTGAAGGCACTGGCACCTCCACCCCGCCCCTCCTTGTTCCCATCCCCAACTCTGGAAGCTACCGGAAGCAAGGAGACAGTTCCAAACCAAGCCACCACGAGGAAAGCTTGGCCCCACGCCAAGAGACTTCAGTTAGATGCCACCGGGGAACAATTCCTCCTGCCAAGGCCTGAAGGGGAGGAGCGGGGCGGCACAGAGACCCCGCGAAGCAGGTGGGCTTTGTAAGGAGCACGCAGGGATGGGTGAGAAGGGCAGTGTAAATACACCATGACACAGGGACCGGGTACATGGTGTCCACAGCAGGCATGGGTCAGACAGGACATGGCAGCGGGTGAGATGCGGTGTGTGCCATGGGACGCTGCCACGTTGAGACACATGCATGGGCAGGGGCCTACCAGAAGATGCTCTCAAAGCTTTTGTGGTCATTTTAAGATATGCCTCAGGATTTTCAGGGATTTCTACATCTGAAAAAGAACAATGTCATTTTCCTCACTGGAGGTGCCTACAGATTCATGCCCAAGCTAACATGCTAGAAAAACTGCTGGCTGGAAGGGGAAACCACTCTGTTTTCATTAAAAATTTTTTAAAAATCAAAAGGAATTTTACTTTTTATTTTAGTCTAGCTAACTCCTCTCTGCAGCAGTGGTGGGCAAAGGGGAAGGACAAGGAAATAATGGAGCTGTCCATCTCCTGACACTCAGAGAAACTGAGGAGTTGACGGATGAGTCCAGAAAACAGCCCGAGCCAGAAGCGAATCGTTTTGTGTCTGGATATGAATTTTCTTTCTTTTTCATCCCACCTGTAATAGGAGCAAGCCAATTCTCAGGTGGGACAAGAGGTGGGCAGGACAGAACCCAGAAAACCACAGGAGTCTGGGTCCACCACAAGCTGGACTCCTCCCCTGGAGAGCTGGCCGTGTCGCTAAGGTGCCAGAAACACGGCCACACAGGTCAATCTCGAGGGCCCTGGGACGGCAGCTGTTACCTGACACGGCGCTGTAGTACGGGCCCTCCTCGTCTTCTTCGTGAGAGGACGAGCCCCCCACGTCACCTGTGTGGTCCCACTCCAGCGGGATGGAGTCCACACTGACGGGGGTCTCACAGCCAGATCGCTCGTGGCCCAGAGTCGGGGGCATAAGATGGCAGAGGGACTGGGGAGAGGTGGGCTCCTCGCTCTCGCCCCGTTTACGCCAAGCGTCGGCCTGGATCTCTCTGGGGTCTTCCATGTCCGTCTCATTCTCAGACGCTTCCTTTTCCTCTTCCAAGCCCTATGGAGGAATGTCTGGTTTTTAGAATGAATCAATTCAAAGGCAACTGCCGTCCAAACGAACACTAGAAGTTTTCCTGTCTAGCAGTTTCCAAAAACAGCCACCGTAGTCTAAGGCACCTTTAAAAACAACTGGGTTCCCAGGCCCTATTTATGGTTATTTGAATTTAGGGAATCTGGAATGGAGCCTACATTCTGTGTTCTACAAACGTTTAGCTTCTTTTTTTAGCAAAAAAGCTGAACTTTGATCATCTAAGTTATAACAACTTTATTTAGAAAATAAGGAAATGGAAGCCAAAGTTTTACTACAAGTAATAGCAAATCAGAAACAAAAACAAAACAACAAAACCAACACCCAGAAAATACAAAGAAGGGAGACATCAGTGTTCTGGGTTACAGCCGCAACCTCAAGTACCATGTACACTTGGTTGGTTCTTTCTCAGCCTCCAATCCTACTGTCCAGGGTCTGGATTCTGATTATACTGCAACATCTCTATCCATCTAAGAAAAATGATTATAAACCACTGTATTTGAAGCTGAGAACTCTTGGGGAATTTTTAAGGCTCTGTCTGATGACAAGATAACTGCATTTGAGGCTGGACGCTTGGAGACGCACAAAAAAGAACCAGCCAGTCCCGCTGGTCCACAGTCACCACTGAGGCGTCTTGGACATGAAGGCAGTGAGGCCGGATGGATGATGATAGCCTCAACACCACCACAGTGTCCCCATGGCCTTTTGTCAAAGGAAACATCTAAGCTGCCTTTGAAGCTGGCAGAACAAAGCCTCACAATGGCACAATTTTTTTTTTTGGTACCAGGGATCGAACTCACGACCTCGAGTTTATGCCATTGAGCTAAATCCCTGGCATAACGGCACAAATGTTAAAAGCCTCCAGAGTAAACGTCACCAAGTACTGCCATGTGTAATCAAAAGCCCAGCATGGAGGAATACATGGCGAACGGGAGGAGCGAGAGCTTTGAGAAATACCAGCCTGTCCACGGTGAAGTGGGAACTTTTTAAGTAATTGCAGTTGTACAGTCACCATGATGGAAATAGTTTGTGGGTGTAGCTCCTTATTTTTGGCACTCATGACCCTGCACTTGCCAAGCAGGCACTTGTGCCACTGAGCTAAATCCCTGGCCCTGTAGCCCTTTTTAAAACCCTAAAATAAACCATGTGAACCACTACAGGATGAGCAGCAGGTCCAATGCACACCCTGAGCAGGTGGTGCCGGGTGGCCAGCTGTGCTGTCCTGCCTTACCGGTGTGCGGGCCGTGAGGCGCCGGTGGAAGCGGGAGACCCTGCCGAACACCTCCTGACAGTAGCGGTGCAACTCCTCCAACTCGTCTTCAATCAGCGCTGCATCCAGGGGCTCGCTCTTCTGAATCAGCTGCTCCCCAAACACAATGAGCTGGTCGATCTTGTTGGTGTTTAACGTGATTTCCTGCTGAAAGCCCTGTGTAGAAGATGAGAGAAGATTTAAAGAAGGAAGATTTCCCCGCGTGTCCAGGCCACAGGAAAAAGCACCCGCTGTCATTAGGGTATGACTCCATTTCTATTTTGGTTAGTCCTAGTACTCCAGCTCCAAGAGTTTTTAATTTAGTGATGAACATTTATTAATTTCAAATGATTGCTATGTTCTTCTCCTCCTCTGGGCACTGATTTTTTCCCAATTTAAAAAATTCTACAAGTCTGACACAGATTTACAATTACCAATACCAGGTGTGAGGGACACCTGGTGAGTGGCGGCTTCCCTAGTAGGCCACCAAGTGCATACGCTTTGGCTGACGGCGATACTGTTCATTAGGGCTGCTGTGGTAAGGAACCTCTTCCAAAGGCTAGCCATGGGGAGAAGACAGGGAGAAAGCCATGACACCGTTATGTGTCACAGCAGGAGAGCATGGGACAGGTTTCCCTCTCACTGCACCAACACTCTGCTCTCAGATGCAAGTGCTGGAGAATCGGCCTCCCAGGAAATGCTTTCAGATCTTCAAGTGACTTCTCCCTTTGGTGACTATCAAGGGCTCTGTTCCCAGGATGCTTTCACTGGAGGGACTGCTAGGGGACCCCTGGAATCTGCTCCCTGAGAATCAGTTGGGACTGGGACGTGGCTGCTGTCCTCTGCACAGGTGCGTGTCTGGGGAGGGGCCGAGGATGCAGCCCTCACGTCCAGCTGTCGCATCTTGTCATCGGCATCGCTCTCAGAGAAGTGCTCCACGTTGGTGAGCTGCAGGTCCATCTCGGTGAGCCACACCAGAATGCTCTCCCTGGTGCCCTCAAATTCTTCCCTCTGGTTGGTGAAATGCTGCAGAGGACAAGAACATCGTGTCTGTGCTGACCACTGCAGGATAAGGGCTCAGGCAGTCAGCAAGGTCACCTTCGGCCCAGAGGACAAGGTGGCCAGGCCACAGCACTGTACAGTCTGGGTCTATCCCAGCTGTGCGACACAGACAGGTCTGCAACTTCTCTGAGCCTCTGCTTCCACCTGAACAAAGCCTCTGGTAAAGGAGGCTTCTCAGGTGAACCTCAGGGATGGGCAGGTGAGTCCCTGATAAATGTGGCCTTTGAGGCCAAGTGAAGCTTTGGATTAGTGACAGTGAGATCAGCAGGACATAGAGAAATGAAAACATGAGAATCATCTAGATCACTGGAAACACCAGCCAGTGTCCTCCTGAGGGTTAAACAAAAAGCCCAGCTTCTCAGCTTCCTACCATGGTTTCAAAGCATCCTATGTTGAGAACAGAAGCGGGGATTACAGTTATTGTCCTGTGGTCCCTGCCTGCACACATGTTTTCGGTTTGTGCCTGGACTCACAAATGTTTCTTGTAGCACGTCTTGGGAACTGCATGAATCTAAGCTGATGCCACCAGCGTTCTGTTTCCAAGGGCTTGGCACCCAAGGATTCAGCCAACTCCGAACTGAAAATATCTGGATATAAAAACTGCCCTGAGCATGTACAGATGTTCTTGTCACTACCAACTGTTACCTAAACCATACAGTGTGATAGCGATAAGTAATCTCAAGGGGAATTAAAGTGTGAGCAGAAGATGTGCATGAGGATACGCTCTATGCAAAAACGGGAGCAGCTTACAGAAAGGATTTCAGCAGCCCAAGTGTGCTTGGGGAAATGTGATTTCTACAGGGTCCTGGAGCCAATCCCTGCTGTACTCACATTAAAATCAAACCTGACCTCTGAGCTTTGTTGGCGAGCTCCAGAGCTCAGAGGGCAACTTCTGTGTGCCCTGCTCAGTGCAGAGAGGGCGCACACAGGGATGTGCTTTCCCCATCTTCCTGGGGCAGGACCATCAGAGGGGACCAAGTGCCCTGCTGATGTGTGCACCATTGGGGCACAATGTGGAGAGTGTTTGGTAACACAGAGCCCACAAATGGCCCTGCCCAGGAAGCCCAGTGCAAACCCCGTGGCATTTGGGTGCCTCTGTGCTGCAAGAACATGTAGACAGCCTAGGCCTTGAGCGCCTCTGCCTGCTGCTTTGTGTTCCAAGCCTGCCACTGCATGTCGAGTCCCCAGTCTGGGAGAATCTACCAGAGGACCCAGTGCCCCAGGGACAGTTACCCTGAGCCTCCGCAGCACAGCCGTGACGCGTCTCTGGAGGTTGTCCCAGCGCTGGTTCCCCTCGTGCACCATCTGCTTCAGCCTGCTGGCGGTGTCCGTGCGGTTCTCGCGTGCCAGCCGCCGGTACTGCTTGTTGATGAGCTCTAGCTGGGTGAGCCGCTCGTGGATCTGCCGCTGGAAGGCCTGTGGCACACAGGGTGGTCAGGGCTGAGCGGCCAAGGGACGCCTCCCTCCTGCCCCTAAAGGCCTGTTCCTTGTGGCTAACCCCCAAATCTGGCTATGGGGCTGCAAGCTTGTTCTTTTTGCTTGCTGAAGCAGACCTCAGGCTCATGGCAGAGCCCTTGGTGCCTGTCGGTTTGTCCAGCAAAGCAGTTGGTGGTGGGCTGGGGACTGTGCAGGCTTCAGCAGAGGTAAGAAGTCATTCAGCAGCTGTTGGGCTGCTGCAGGTGTGGTCATGAGTGGGGGCAGGGCGGGGAGGGTGTGTACCTCAAACCTCTTCAGCTCCTCCTTGGCGCTTGTGTACAGCACCTCTGAGGAGTTGGGGCAGGCTGCCGTCCTCTCGGCAGACTTCAGCCAGTCTTCGAAGCGGGAATAATCATCTAAAAACTTCTGCCATAGACGCCACGTCTCCTCGATTCTGACAGGAGAAAAGTAACTTAGCTAGACCATCTGTTTCCAACCTGTTTCAGGCTTCTGTCCCTTGACTGAGCCTGTTCCTGACCACCTTATGCTCATAATGTCTGGGGAGCAAACCTACAGTTCTTCCTGGGACATAACTATGTTGTTACTTCTTGGGCTGCTCACCTTCCTTCTGGGAAGGCTGAGCACCGCAGAGCTCCTGCTTGACACAAGTTGAAGATAGCAGACAAAAGCTGCACCTGGGCATGCCTGTCATCCCCGCACTCTGGGAGGCTGAGGCAAGAAGACTGCAGGTGCCAGCCCAGCCGAGCAAGACCCTCAGTTCAACCCCCAGTAACGTACAACAACAATACCACCCACAAAATGCAAAACAAGAGACACGGGTGGCCGCTCAGTGGTCACGGCTGTGAGGCCATGGGTTCCACTTGTAGTATTGGAAAAAAAAATAAAATCCTGGAAAAAGGCTGCCCTATACTGTTTTGCTGTTGGGTCCACACAAGTAAAGTGAGGGCCATGGAGAGCCGGGGAAAGATACTACCCTGACACTTTTTGTTTCAATAACTCCTTAGTAAGCACCCTTAGTAAGCACTCCCTCTCTGCCAATCCCTGACATGCTTCTAAGTGACATGAATATACAGGTTACTATAACTGATGGCCCTGGCTCCTTACTTCATGCGCCGCTCCATGGACATGGCACAGATGTTTCTCCAGCGTCTGTCCAGGCTTCTGGTGGTCTGCTGGATCGAGTCACACTCAGTCTCGTTGGCACAGGCGTCAGAGTCGTGTAATAGGACATCACAGATGTTAAACACAGACTCCACCCCTGCACTGTGCTGTTCGATGTCTCGCTGCAGGTCCTGTGTTGCAAAGAGCGAGAAAGCCTTTGAGAGGGTGGAGGGAGGGGTGCTGCAAGGACCTGCTCAGCCCTTCTTTCCTGCCCCTCTTTACATCCAGGGGCACAGCTCTGGACGTGCTAGTACCTTGGGGTCCGCAGTACAAACAGAGTAGTCATCTGCACAGAAGAGGGAGGTGCCCACCTTACACCAAGAGGTGGCACTGCTGACCCAGAGAGTCCACACACACACACACACACACACACAGGCTAAGCATGGGATTTATCCAAAAGCCCAACCCTAGCAGCCACTGATGTAGGCCCTGTTGGGGGAAATCCCACCATAGAAAACCAAGTCTCTCCAGCAGGATCTAAAACTTCGGTGACAAGACTCTTGGCCGTTTACAGGCCACAGGACTCTCCGATCTGTGAAGACCTTTGTGCCATCTCTGCATGCTCTCACTGTGCCAGCAGCCACATGGATGTGCTGGCTGCCCAGGTACATCCTGAGGGCTCCACAGGTCCCAGGAAGAATCCTGGGCTCCCCAAGCCACGGAGTTCAGCCAAGGCTATGGCTGTGGAGTAGGGTCTCTGGCGAGCTGTCTTATGCTAGAGATCGAGATGCAGTTCCCCACTTTGGGAAAGAATTCAGTACTTAGGAAGAGATGACGCATGCTTGTAGGAAAGAGGGAAAACATTAAGAACAAGCATCATGTTATGCTTATGTAGTCATCATGAGAGCATATTTCCTCCACTACAGCAAGGGTATGCTGAGTTCAGGAGAGATGAGCCTGTTTTCACTTCTGGATAAGTTAGGCTTCCCCTGATAATCAATCCAACTTCGGAGATGAGTCACAGGAGACCACACCATTAATCCTAGTATCTAAATTATATTGTGGAGTGACAAAGTTTAATTCTGTTAAAACTGTTTGATAATATGTCTGCTTTTGAAAATTTATAACACTTTAAGCCACTATTAGCTGTCCTAAAACTATAGTTCACAGTGTACAAAAAGATCACTTTATAAACAGTGGCTGTCACCATGTACAGAAAGGCAGCTTGGAACCCTTCCGGGTCACCTCGATATTCAAATAATTTGGAGACAACTGAGTGACTTGATAGGCCTAATGTTTTCTTATACTTCTGGTAAATGCACGAGGTGGGTCAGTCTGTGTTGGATGGATGTGAAGGAACAAATGCTAATCTCTATGCAAATCCTAACTCAGGCAGTTCCTAGCACAGATCCTGAGTAACACGTAGCACTATCATGATACATTCAAAAGTTATGTCTTCTGTTTGGCTGTGCTCTGTCCTGGGACAAGAGATCAGCAGGGCCATTCCTTCAAGCTCAGCTGCTCAGAGAGAATGCTGGAAGTGCTTCAAGGAGTGGGGTTGCCTCAGTATCTTAAAATCATTACATGTACTCTGATTTGAAGAATTCTTACTGTTTTAGAGTTGTCATAGGTTTTTCTGAAATTTATATGTATTGATACATATTCCTTTTATTTATTAAAGTAATAAATTAGGAATCTTAGCAGTGGATTCCTACCATTAGTATCCACTGAGACACAAGTCTGAATAATTAATTTTAGAATTAAATGAGTAATAACACTAACTGAGTAATACTAACAATTTTAATTGGAAAATGCCCAGGATCTCATCTGACTTCTGCTGGGTCGGATCTGGCTAAAAACCAGAGAAAAAGTTTCATTTATGGATAAACATGGAAGCTATGTATTTTACTAGATTCTTTGTGGTTACATGAATTACATCCAGCTTACATTGAATAAAATGCCCAAAGAAAATTAAATAACATATAAGATAGTAAGAATGTGATTTCTGAAATAATTTATCAAAGACCATCCACATTTTGGTTTAAAAAAAATTCAAAGCCCATTTTCAACAATGACAAAAAACAAAACAAAAATACCTCACCATAACAAAGAAAACTCACCTAAAAAGCCTTTATAAACATTGCAGAGTGGCCTACTTCTCTGGTACTGTGAACTAATTACCTTGTAAAATACAAAAGAAAGTGGACTACATTTTAAAAATAAAACCATTTATGTGCTAGACAAGTCACATTTTGCAAACTGAAATAACCCTACCACTAGTATCCACTGAGACACAAATCTGAATAATTAATTTTAGGAACTGTCCAAATTCTGCGAAGCACATTTAAAAAATAACTTACAACAACCTCAGAGACTTTTTCCCATTGGTTCTGGAAAGGGTTTGTGTGTTTTTCTGCCCCCAAGCAGGTGACACAGACACAGAGCACTGAGGCTGGGAAAGAGCTGGGGATGGGGAGGGCCTGGAACTGGAGAAGAGGACGCAGCCTGGAAGGAGGAGGATAGAAAGAAACCAGAAGAAGAGCTCTGCGGGAGGAAAGCTGGAGGTAGCTCCGGGCTGTCTCCACGGGAGGGGCTTAGGTGGCAAACAGGGCAGGCAGGGTGGTGCTGGCGTGGCCTGGGGCCTCTGGAGCAAAGCTGAAATGGCCTGCAGGGAGGGGGCTACTGGAAATTACGGACCGAGAGAGTAACTAAGAATTGCCCCACACCACCACCCAGCACTCACAGGGAACCAAGAAACCAAGAAATGACCTAGGAGAGAAGGGCAGCACAGAGTGAGAGTGGTTTGTGATTTAAGAATAGTGGTGGCCACTTCCTTTGTATTTTGAAGGAGTAACAGTATAAACTTGTCTACAGGAGTTCTATGTAAAAAGGAAAATAAAAAAGGACTCTTACAGGGCCTATGCGTTCTCCACCAGGTCCCAAGCATATTATAAAAAGGCTGTAGGACAGCATGCTTCATTTTTGTGGTACTGAGCACTGAGTCCAGGGCCTCGAGCATGCTGGCCAAGAGCTCTGCCGCTCAGCTGCACCTCAGCCGGCTGCAAGGCTCTGACCCACTTTACAGGGCTGAGGGCTCTGCAGAAGGCAAGTCTAGATATCTCAAGGTTTTAGGTCTTATCTTGGGACTCGATCAAGCAGGTTATTATATTTATTAGAGATGGAAACATAAGGTTTTTAAAAATGGCCCAAACATAATCCTTTTGTGTGACATGTTTGTTTTCAGTTATCTTGGATGGTCTAGTATAATAACACATGGTAACTTCATTGTTTTCAACAAAATACTGAAAATTTCCTTAGGACATCTGTGGTAGCAGAATGATGGTGACCCTCCTCCTTCCCCTAAGGCTGTCCAAATCCTAGTCTCAGAGCCCGTGAGTATGTTAGGTTCCACAGCAAAGGAGAAATACATTTGGTAATCATTTGACTTTAAAATAGGAAGATTCTCCTAGATTATCTGGGTGAGTTCAATAAAATTGTGACAATCCTTGTAATTAGAATAAGTTAGAGCAAGATGTAGCTGTGGAAGACTCATAGAGTCACTATGTTGCTATCTCTGAAGACAGAGTAAGGGGGCCACAAGCCAAGAAATGTGGGGGAGCCTCTAGAAGCCAAAAAGGGCAAAGAAATGGATCCTCCCCTGGAGTTTCAGAGAGGAACGCTACTCTCTGGGCACACTCATTAGAACAATAAGGCAATAGATTCATGTTTTAAGCTAAATTTGTGGTAATCTGTTACCACAGAAATAAAAAATTAATACATCTGTCATAGTTACTTTCTTATTGATGAGACACAATACCCAACAACAGTTTAAAGAAGAAAAAAGGGTTATTTTGGCTCCTAGTCTGTAGAGGTTTCAGTCCACAGGTGGCTGGCTGCAAGGTAGGGTGGCATGGAAGGGGCAAAACAGTTTGTGGCATACTGAAGATTTGAATGATCCAGTCACCTCCCAAATGTCACACCTATGAGCACATGAGGTTTTGGAGAGATATCCAGATATAAACCATAACATTCCAACCCTGGCCCTCAAAAGACTCATATGAATCCCTTTATACAAAATGTATGTAGTCCCTCTCTTAAGAGTTGTCGAAGGCCTAATAGTTTAGTACCACAGAAAAGTTCAATTCTCAACTTGTCTGACATTTAAAGCAAACTCTCAGCTTTGAGGCCCTATAAAAATGAAAAGAAAGTTAAACAATGCCAACATACAATGGCACAGGATAAAAATTCCCATTCCAAAAGGGCGCAACAGGGGGACAGAAAGAAATGGGACCAAAGCAAGACCAAAATCCAGCAGGCAGACATTAAATTCCATAGTTCCATGTCCAGCACCTGAAGCAATCTGTGGAAAGATGTGAACTCCAAATGGCTTGGGTGGCCTTACCCCTATGGCACTGCTGGTGATTGTAGCCTTCACAGCCTCTTTTTTGGGCCAGCTTTGGTCACTTCTTGTAGCTTTCCTTAGATGTGTGTGTTCCTAGCTTTTCTAATATCCGGGGTCTCCACTGCACTGGTTTCACACTCAGCTTCATGCACTGCCCTCTCGGGGTGCACACTGCCTGAACTCCTAGGCCTTCTTCTGAATTCTGGGTGAAATCTGGCCCCACAGCTCTTGCTCCCTGCATGCACCCAAAAGCAATATCACATGAATGACGCCATAGTCTGCTATCAGATGGAGCAGTAGTTGACCCATTTTGCCTCTTGCTGGTGGCTGCAGAGGCCTTTTGGTGCCTAGAGGACTGAGAATGGTGAACTGAATTCTGGGGAGTCAATTACCATTCCCTAGGCTGCCACAATTCTGGAGCATGGTACCCTGGGCTTGATTCTCAAAGCAAAGTCTTTCACCTAGGCAATTTTGAGGCTGCAAATGATGGAATCCTGCTGGTTCCTGTGATACCCTCAGGCCATCTTTTCTACTGGCCTGTTCCAAAGTACTTGGCTTTTTGATGCTAATCTTCTCAGCAGCCAAGTTATCCCCTGCTCTATCTTTGCCCCAATTTTCAGGAGCTTTCTTTTTGGCCAAACTCAAAACTTTCAAAAGATCATTCTGCTGGGCCATTTGCTTTTGATTCTCAAGGTTGAGCTGGTTAAAAGCCTCCAAAGTCATTATGGTGCTGCCTCAACATGAGACTGTCTTGAAATTTCTTCTGCCACATTACTTTCTCTGCTGCCCTTAATCTCAGTGTTCCACAACATCTCTGACACAAGCAAAACGTGCAGAAAATTTTCTGTCAAAGCATAACACACGTGGCCTGGAGTCCAACTGCCAATGTAGTCCTTGTACCTGACTGAACTCTACTGAGCCTGATCTTTACTGGCTGTGTTTCTCTCAGCATTCTGGTCTTTGGAACTCTGATCAGAATCTCCCCTTAAGACGGGCTCACAACATTCTAGGGCTACATCTCTGGCTGCTATCGCCAAGCCTGTCCAAACTCCTCCCATAAGCCAGTTCCAAAAGCTTCTGAGCCACACAGTCTGACAGTCACAGCAGAGACCTCACTTTTCTAGAACCAAAATCTGTATCATTCCATGTTCACTAGAAGAACAGATTTAACATAAGAAATGTATAAGGATTTAGAAGGTACGCTTACAGTGGCTGCAGGCTGAGTCACGTGAGGAAGAATGCAAAAGGACTGCCTGAACATTGGAAATCCGAAGGATCCAGTCAAAAGTCAAAGGCTTGAGCTCACTGCAGAGTCCCACGTGAGTTTCTATCAGGAAACCAGAGGGTCTGGCTGTAAGGCGGAGATGGATGTCCACAGATGGTGAAGACTGGCGCTCCTCCAAAGCAGCAGAAGTGAGCCTTCCTTCTTGTTTCCTTTTTTATTCTATCCAGGCTGCAAGCCTATTGGTTGGTCTTCCCTGCCAAGTTCATCACTCAGAACACCTAGAACTATGCTAAACCAATCAGCTGGACATTTCTTCATGAAGAAACATTGACAGTTGACACCACCGTGACGGTGACTGCCCTCTTCCTACCGGGCTACACCTCCCAACATCGCGCTCCACAAAAACCAACCAGGGGACCAGTCCAGGGATGAGCATCACACATCCTGATCCACATCTCCCCAAAGCGCCCCCGTCATGCATGTGTGAGGCTTTGGGGGGACAACAAGATGTAAACCATAACATCTAACTTCTTTATACTAATGGCAGTCCTGAATGCTAACTCTGTAACTTTTTTGGTAACCAAAAAGTATGAGAATCATATAATGAAACATACTTTTGTTTCATTTGAAATGGTTAATTTCTCTTTAATTCATTGGAAAGAAAGTTTTTTGCTAATATCTGTTTGTTTCTTCTTTGTAAGAATCTTTTTTGGCAATGTTTTATACTCTGAATAACAAGTTTGAAGATAATGATACACAGTATATTAACTATTGTTATTGTTAATTTATGAAATTTTATTTTTGCATAAAAAGAATCATATTATGGTGGTTTGATATGTAGTGAATGTTTGAATTGTCAAAATGTATTACAGTAAAATGCTTTGTCATTAATCCTCACCATACTCTCCCTCACTTTGAACTTGTTTCATTGTCCTTGTCACTTTTTGAAGCAGGTCTGGAAGTCCTTGTTTGTGAGCATCTTTACAAGTTGTGATTTAAAAAATGGTGCATGCTCTTGTCCACTGCCACCCAATGGAAAGGCAGGCTCCCAAAGTACTACTGTGTGCCTTTGCCCACTTCATTCACCAGATCTAGCACTTCTGACCCTTCTCCAAAGTCAAAATGACCCGGAAGGAAAAACATTTTGAATCGATTAGGACATTAAAGCAGCCACAACACAGCAACTACAGACATTCACAAAAGAAATCCAGAACTGCTTCAAAAAGTGACAAGAATACAAGGATAAATGTGTTTGAAGTGAAGGGGAATATTCCAGGGAGAGTAACAACAATGTGTCTTAATAAAAAAAAAAAAAAGTCACCATGTTTTCTGATCACACCTTGTGCAGAGGGCACCTTCAAATCTACTAGACTGAAATAATGTACCATTTCAATTCGGGAGTAAGAAAGGCCGAAGCCCCTACTCTACAGATGGGGAGGGCATTTTGGTGCAGACAGCAGGGCTCCTCGAGGCAGGCTCCACACCTCCGCTCTTCTTGCGTCTCTGTGCTGAACCACAGCTGCTTAGAGTCTCAGGCTGTCCCCCCTTGGAGGCTATAGCACTCCTTGATGGAATGAGCTGGGCTTGTTTTTATCCCACAAGTAACTTCTGTGCACTCTGGATTCACTGAGAAGGGAGATTTTGTAGACGCCTCCCCCTTAGAACTCCTACAGTGCAGTGAGGATGAGCCATGGACAGACACACGGGCCTGTGAGGGGATCCCAACACGACATCAGGTTCTGAGACACTCAAGTGAATTGACGCTGGGAGATGTCAGGACAGCAACCATTCCTGGGGCACTGGAAGACTGGGGGGCTTCTGGGGAGCTGGTGGTATTCTGTTTCCTGCCCTCTCTGGTAAGCACTAGCTATATTCATAAAATTCATTAAATGAACCTGTGTTTATGCAAAAAAAAAAAAAATAAAGGCAGACAAGAGAACAGCCAAATTATTTGCTTTTGGAAATAAATTCTCTGCAAGTTAATTTTGGTCATTGTTATGGTTGATACATTATGTCAACTTGAGAAGTTTAGAAGTTTAACTAAGAGGCTCAGCAAGCAGCCAGGGTTCTTGCATTATAAATATCCTCCTGCTATGCAAGAGGTGGGTAAAGAGATTTTGTGAGTGCTACACGGAGTAGAGTGGCCTGGGTACAATATAAAGGAGAAAAAGAAGCTTGCTCTGTCCCTCTTTTGCCCTGGTTGCTTTTCCTGGCTCCTGCCTTGAAGTGTTGCCCCAGTGCAATGTGACCCTGCCTTGGAGACATCTGACTATGGACTGAAATCTCCACAAACTGTAAGCTAAATAAACTTTTCTTTCCTTCATTTTGGGTGTAGGGTTTTTTGTCTCAGCAGCAAGAGAAAAGTAACTGAGGTAGTCATTTCATATTTATAAAAAAGGTAACATGGTTTTTTGTACCTATCAAAATTAGCCAACTACGGGCCTGGGGATTTAGCTCAGCGGCATAAGTGCCTGCCTTGCAAGCAGGCAGTCGTGAGTTGGATCCCCGGTACCGATAAAAAGGAAAAAGACAAAAAATAAATAAATAAAAATTAGCCAACTACTCTCTAAGAGCAAAGGTATCACCAGCTTTTATACCATCTACCTGAAAAAACAAAACTCACCACTCACAGTTAAAGGCTTGCAAAGCCTTGTCTGCTAAGAGATTGTTTAAAGGGATTCACTCTTGTGGACCAAACCTGTAAACAATGCTGGAGGTTTTCTATGGTCCCTGAATCCACTGAACAGGGCACTGAACTCACTGTCATGTCCACTCAAATGTTATGGTACTTATATCAGTATTCTCTCCACAAAGCAAAGACAGAATCATGATCGCTAGATGAAAAGGACACACAAGTATTTTACATTTGCAGCAATTCTAAATCATATTAGCTTGAAAGCCCAGCCCCTGGCTTGATCTCCTAGAGACGTGTGACCCCAAGACTCTGGGAGTAAAGTATATACCATGATACCCAATTTACTGCTTTTCTGATACTCTAGGAGACATAAAAAGTACAATCCACTGAAAATTCTCCTTGGGCCTGCTTGGCAAGCATGAAGTCCTAAGTTTGATTACTGGTACCAATAATAATAATAAAAAAGAAAAAAGAAAAGAAAATTCTCCTTGGTTAGAAAGGTTCGTCATTTTTTACTTTCCTGCCTTTCTAAAACTGTGTTAACAAAACACAACAAAGATCAAAGTTCATAAAAAAGACAAAATTTAAAAATCTATTTACCACCATGATTAGTTTCTACATGTTAACATTATTTAGCCTACCACGCAAACAGCTACATGAATGTTGCCTCACGCCTAAATCCCAGCACTCTGGAAGGCTGAGGCAGGAGACTACAAGTTCAAATCCAGCCTGGACAACTGAGAGAGACTGTTTCACAATAAAAAGGGGTGGGGATATAGCTCAGTGCAAAGGCCCTGGGTTCAATTCCCAGTACTGACAAAAACAAGCAAACAAACAAAAAAGACAAAACAAAACAAAACACAAAACCAGCAACAGAAAGCAAACAGGTGACAATGATACTATGAAATGTGAACATTCTGAAACACAGCAGACACGGGGTAGGCCTGTGTCAGCAGAATCCCGCAGACATCTTTCCTTACATAGCTCACTTCCGCCCGCCCTACCTGCTGCTCCGCGAGCCTTTTCTGGATCTCCTGGTCGTCACAGACTTCATAAACAACAGGCTTAGACAGCTCCGACTCGATTCGTGCCAACCAGGTGCGAAGATTGCTCATGTTTCCGTCTAACTGCTGGATGAAAGCAAACGTCTCCTTCAGCTTCTTCACCCTAAACACAGTTGCAGGGGGAAAAATGAGGAAATCAGAACCCACCATTTACCGTTAAGAATCGTGGGTCAGCAAGGGTAATACTGGGTAAAAAGGAAGCTATGTTGCTTTGATTTTATAGCAGGAACAATTCCCACATTACCAGATTGCTGTTTCCATAGAACAGGTGACACTCTGCAAAACTGATGTTTCAGGTGACTTTTCAAATGGCTTGAGTCTATCCATGCACACAAGCAGTGCTGTCATTCCCAGCCTGGAATCCCCTGAGGCCCCCACCCATCTTCCTAGAGCTCTAAGAGGAAATGCCAGTGCTAATACAATCACGCCTGCCTTCTTCAGCCCAGTTTCTGTTTTGGGTATGCCCAGGGCTGTGGTAATCAATGTTTTCCTGATAGATTAACATGTTCAGGATAGTGCTGTAATTTATATGTCTCACTTCTGGGTGGCTTGGACACCACTGGTATATGCATGACTGTCCCAAGCATGACTGTACCCCTTGTCCCACCAGCTATACAAGCCACCCTATGGGACAATCATACATGTACCACCTGTGGGTCATGCCAGCCATAATGTGTTTAAGATACCACACACCTGGTTCACTTGGTATTTAGCTCACAATGTGCTTCACAGGCCCTCTCTCTGGGCAAGATTAGAACACATGCCAAACCTGGCCACTGCAGGTACAGCATGAGGCCACTGTAAGAAGTGAGGGGCAAAGGTAATCTGCACCCAAGCACTGCCCTACCTGCCACTGACCGCATGAATGTCCTCGCCTCCCACCCAGCCCAGGCTGGAGCAGAGCTGAGGACACAAACAGTGTGGACGCCGCTGAGGCATCATCACCAGCACCCAGCCTGCTGCGGAGGGAAGCCTTCATTCTTTTCACAGAACCTGAAATGAAATGCCTTCACAGCCACCTCCACACAGTCCTAAGGAGAGACGCAAGGGTTTGCCTTGGTGTTCTGGAGAGCACTTCACCTGTAGGAACATCCTCCAGGCCACCAGCATCTCTAATTTAATGACCTCTTGGGGGCTCTTGGCCCTGCTACCTGCAACCTTTGGTTTGGTAGCCACACCCCATTTGGGTTGGAAGGCAAATCTGATCCAGGCCAGGAACCTTCTTGAACCCAGGCCCTACTGTGACACACCCAGGTCAGCCTGTGATCTCTTCAGCACCTCCAGGTCAGTGCCTTTTGGACTGTAACCCTTCACTCTGCAAAGGGGCTGCGCCTTCATTCCAAGGTGTCATCCTCAGCCTCTCCCTGCACACTACTGCAGTGCCTGGGCTGCCACAGGGATCCTCTGTGACACTCGCACACTCTGCACCTGCCTCTCTGTAAAATTAGGTTACAATTTACGTAGACCACTGCATTTCCTACATTGTCCTGTTTTTTGTTTCTTATAATCCCTGAGATGTCTTCCAGTTCCAGCTCCATCACCAGTTAACAACTCAGGAAAAGTTCTTTCACCTCAGCTTCCTTATCTCCAGGAGGCCTGGAAGTCTCTCACCATCCAGGGATGTGTGAGAGGTTAAGGCCAGAGCTCTGGTGGTGAGCAGACCAGGGCCCAAATCCCGTTCTGCGTCTACAAACTCAGCTTGTGACTCCCACTTTTCTTCTCATCTGTAAGACTAACCACCTTATAGGGAGTTGTGAACCCAAAATAAGAGGATACTTGCAGAGCCACTGGCATGCAATAAATGCTCAATAGTTCACCTCTTCTATGCCTACTGGGTGCTACAGTGACACCTTAGCTGTAGGGATCTTATTCTCAATAGCACCATGAAGCAGGGAAGTCAGAAACAGACCCTGTGGTCTGGTGGTGACGTCTGTGGGTTAAAGTCCTGGCTATCTTTATCTCACTTGTAAAAGGTGTCAGCAATAGCAGAGAGGACTGTAGGAGATTTAAGGCATGGAGGGCATCTGGGACAATGCGTGGCACAGTTAAACACCCAGGGACTATGGGTACAATCGCTCCAAACTGCATTCCTACTGCAGCAAACTGCTTTGAAAGCTGCAAGATGATTTATTTTTCAATAAAGAAAGAACAGAATCCTGGCTCAAGTCTGCACACAGTTGTAATCTTGATTCCCATGGCTTTTAGCCTCTCTCTCTTCATGAACACATCCTAGTCCTGCCACACAGAGAAGCCTCCCACACAGCTATGAAGGCTGCTCTCCAGCAAGGGTCCAGCTGCAGATGAAGCCTGGCCCGGAGGCCCTCCGGGCTGAGAACTGGAGTTCTACAACTCCTTCAGCTTTCCTGCACCTTCACCCCGGGGAACCCCTGCTGCCTTCATGTGGCACCCCTTCTTACTGCTCCATGAGAATCCCAGCCTCTTTCTTATTTTACACAGAAGTGGGCTGAAATGAAAATTTTTATCTCAAGAGAGCTAACAAGCAAAGAAATAGCCTTGGTGTAAACACAGACATAGTGACCTTGATTGCAAACCCTGGGGCTTAGGCATGCAGGAAGTATAACTTCCTGGGTGTGGGTGTGTCTCTGTGTGTGTGTGTGTGTGTGAGAGAGAGACAGACAGACAGACAGAAACAGAGACAGAGACAGACAGAGACAGACACACAGAATATCTGGTCAGCTTCCTCAGGACTGTGGTAGTCAAAACCAGGAGCTCGTGGGACATAACACTGGGTTAAAAAACTTGCCTTATACTTTTCTGTAAATTTATACTTTAGCGTCATAGGAGCCAGCTGTGTGCCTCAGGAGCTGTGCCTGGAGGATACAGGAAGCAAACTTTGTGTTTACTTACGTGGTTTAACCAATAGCAAGGTATGTGCCTATGTGCAAAAGTGTCAAATTGGGATTTTTACCCACATTTATGCTTCTTCCAACAGGTTTCGTGTATGTTTACCTGAGCATGACAGGGGTAAAATACACCCACACCATTCTTTTGCTATGTAAACATGTACTTTACCATAATGGAGTGTGGGTTTATTTGGACTTTTTCTGGTAGAGGTACCCCAGCACAGTAACATGGCACATGAAAAATCAGACTTCCAAGTTTTGGAGGAGGTCAGAAGTGAATCATCAGATCACTCATGCATTGAAGATGAAGGTGGGAACTGGAGTTCTACAACTCCTTCAGCTTTCCTGCACCTTCACCCCAGGGAACCCCTGCTGCCTTCATGTGACACCCCTTCTTACTGCTCCATGAGAATCCCAGCCTCTTTCTTATTTTACACAGAAGTGGGCTGAAATGAAAATTTTTGACTTTGATCCTGGTCATGTGAGTCAAAGTTCCTTTGACAGTGAAATGGAACAAGAATCAACTGATACAGAGAATGTAGACTGCCTTGATTTAGATGATGAAGAAAACAGCAATACGAGTACATATTTGACCAGCTCAAATGGAACAAAATGATCATGCAACCAATATGGGATGATCCACTGTTAGAACTAGGTCCAAAAATACAAATGACAATTTTGGTGAACCTATTGGACAGGTGCCATCATTACCATTTAATGTTGGAAATTGTTTGTAACAGATGAAATGTTGTAAGATGTGAAATACACATGCGGAAACACAAGTAAAATGTTTCACATGTACCAATAGCTGTATTAAAAATACATTTATTATGACATTTCACTATCTGAACTGAAAGCATTCATAGGTCCTGTACTTAGCAGGGCTTTCTCATGGTTATCACAGGAATGTAAAAGACTTATGGAAAAGCAATGGTGTGCTTGAGATTTGTAGAATAATGATGACACTGAGAACATTTGGTTTCCTTCAAAATTGCCTGAGGTTAGATGACAAAAACACCCACCAAGAAATAAAAAGAACTGATAAAATGTTATCTGCTCACTGTTGGAGAGATTTGTGGGTAATTGTCAAACAACTTACACACCAATCAGAATACGTGATTATTGATGAACATCTTACAGCATTTCACAGTAGCTTTAGGGAGTGTATTCCCAAAACACATGCAAGATGTAGCATAAAAATTTATGCCCTTGTAAAGACTTAGTACACTTTCAATTTAGAAATTTATTCTGGAACTCAGCCACCAGTTCCTTATCCAGATAGTAATAAACCAAAAGACAGACTTGTTACTCCTGACTCCCAAACTAATCAGAATGTGACATTCAACAATTGGTTTACCAGTTTCCAGCTGACTTGCAAACAAAGCACAAATTGAACAGTGTAGAAACTGTACACAGGAACAAAGCAGAAATTCCAAGTGAAATGCTGCAATTTCAAAACAGAATTGTATAACACAATCTTTAGATTTCACTGGTCTTAAAGATAACACTGTTCTTAAATATGGCAAAGAAAAACAAACTGGTATTGCCATTGTCAATATTACATCATGACGGAAATATCGATAAGGAAATCTTGACAAAACAAAAGGCTGACATGTAAACTTGCTCTAACAAAACCAAAGGTAGAGTAGATGTTGATGAGTTACCCAGCAACTATGTCGGCACTTGAAACACAAAGTGCTGGCTACTGGTTGTGTTTTACTCGATCCTAAACATGTGTAGCATAGTTTTATAGTTTGCAAAGAAAATAACAAGTGCATAATATCGTGGAGAAATTTTCTTGACTGGAAGTCATAAGACATCATTTTACAGCAGAGGAAAAACAAAAGATTTTTGCTTAGGGTGCTATCCAAAAAAACTGTGGTGCATATTGGTGAGCTGATAGGTAGTCTGGCTGGCACAATAACCCAAAGACCTACCAGGACAAGAGGAAAAGTAAACAATGCCACCTGTGCTCTACAAGAAAGGACAGGAAAACAAAATATACATGTTACCAGTGTAAGTGATACTCGTATAGGGAACATGCAGCTGTCAGGTATAAAGACTGCCCTGCATGTGACAACTGAAGCAAAGATTATTTCTGTTGTAAGAGTTCTATCAGTATTTTATAGTAGTTCATATAGGAATTTATTTCTCGTATCTTTTAGGTTTTATAAGCAAGTACATGGCAGATGTGAAAATGTTGATGTTCACTTTAAATGCACAATACATATCAGGAATT